GTGAAGGTGTTGTGGAGACACCATGGGATTGAGGAGGCCACTTGGGAAAGGGAGGCAGAAGTCCGCTCCAAGTATCCGGATTTATTTGAGCATGCTTGATTATTTTATTTTGATTGCAGTATTTCCCTCCTAGTGATGACGGGGAGAGTGTTGAATTGTTGCTCACATATTGTTCTGTATATTGTTAATCCAAACATGAAGTTGTGTACAAACAATATTTTGCTAAGGATGATTTTACTCTATATGTCTAGTGTAAACAATAGTGGCTTTGATGAAATGATGATGGGAAGAATGGTAAATATTGATTGAATATAGTTGTTGCAAGTTGTTAATGTTGTTAGAATGATTCTAGTTGTTGGAACTCTGTTGATTAGTGAGTGTATTTAAATTTCGGGGACGAAATTTCCTATGGTGGGGAGGTTATAGCGACCAGGTCCTTTCCCTCCTTTCTTTTTCTCTCCCTTGCACTCTGTTCTTTCGCTTGTTGTGTTTGGGACGTTCGGAGATCGTACTCAAATAAAGTTCTCATTCTTGTTTTGTTTCGGTGATTGAATTTCACCCTTTCCGGGGAGGGCGTGGTCGAGTCCGGAGTGCTCGGGGGCCAAACCGGAGAGTTTTAGACTACTGGGCCGGGGCTGCATGTGCGGGGCCCTAGGCTGCACGTACGGGAGGCCAAGCTGCACATGCAGGGAGTGGGGACTTTCAGTGGGTTGCATTCTGCCTAAAAGGCACGTGCGGAAGGAGGTGCGGGAGGAGCCCCGCACGTGCGGAAAGGGGCGCTCCGCATGTGCGGGGCTGGGTGCCGCACGTGCGGCACTCTGGGCATCCGAAAACTCTATTTTTTTACCCTTTTTGGCCGAAATTCTAACATATTTAGGGCCTCTCCTTATCACTCTAAACCTTATATATTCTCCTCCTTCTCTCTAAAAACCCTACCTAGCACTCCAAACCCTTGATTTCTTGTGATTCTTGGGTCTAAGATCATCAATCCGTCTCCACTCTTGAAGATCAAAGCTAGGGCTTTCTTGGTGTAGGAGGAATTGAAGGATTCTCCCTTTTAATCCTAGGGTTTCATCTCCATTTCTTCATCAAGCTTGAGGTAGGGACATCCTTGAGTTATATATACATGTTTTGAAAGATTAAGTGTTGGTTTCATACTTCTTTTAAATTTATTTCAAAAATTTGGCCTTTGATTCAAAAATCATGAAATTTCTCAAAGGGGAGTTTAAAGACTCAAAAGTTTCTATGTTGATCCTTAAGATCTTGTATTTACATTCTCATAAGGTTGGTTTTGATGAACTTTCACCATGAAAATGAGAGTTGTTTGGTTTTGATGCAAAACCCAAGAATTTGCGGATTTTGGAAAATAAGGCAATATCTATGAAACTTTTTAACCATTTTGTGTCAAGAGGATGAATGAGAGTAAACCTCATAGCTTGTTTGGTAAAAATGGAAACCTATTTGATATATGAGACACAAAATGTTATTTTTAACATGTTGGTAAATGCTTGAAACTGTGTTGTTGGAAAGTGGTGGATGATCAAGCACCATGGAATGTGAATGTAGTGAAATTTTAAAGAAATTATTTTGAGAACATCACATATTGCCTTGAAGAGGTCGAGATTTGAGCATGATGAGAAAGTTATTGTTACTATGAATTGATGGTTTGGCTATTTGTGAAATAATGTTGAGGTGAAGAAATGATAAAAGTGGTAAATGGATATTGTTGTAGAGATGTTTGAAATGGAGAAACGTTATGAAATATTATGCATTGCATCATGTTCTCATTTGATTTATTATCATTATTGTACATCATGAAATGAGTTGGAAAATGTTTATCTTGAGAAAGATTTATATTGTAATGAGAACTACGGAAATGTGATATGGGGTAAATACGCGGTAAGTCCGGATAGGGGGTGTAGTTGATTTTGATAAGTTGGCCTGAGTGTCCATGGTGAAAGACCAGAAAACCGCGCGGATAGGTGTCGAGCCTTCCAGTTAATACCGGTAAAAATGACAGTTAGGTAGTACTTGTAGAGGCTACCTGCAGACACCAGCCTAGGGATTACCAGTGTCGTATTTACTGCCTCTATTGATTAAAATTGGAAGTTTGTTTGAACGTGTTGAGATTGCTAACTTATATTGAAATGGAAAATTTTTGTGAAAGAGCATGAAATGGAAATTTTCTTTAAGAAAGCGTGTTATAGCATGAACATTTGCATTTTTATTGAGAATTGCATAACTGTATATACTTTGTTAGAATTCTCTACTGGTTTTATGCTCACCCTTATGGGACTTTGTGCAGGTAAAGACGTGGTGATCCCGCCAAGTTGAGGGCGCGGATAATTGCAAAGAGTACATAGCTCTTATTTTGTTATGATATTTTTGTAAAGCTAAGGGCTAACTTGTATGGGTCCAAGAGACCACTTTTGTGTAACCGGGCTATTGCCTTGGAAGATGTAAGCCCTTATGGGCAATTTATTGTTTGGTGATTAGATGCTTCACATGCTATAGATTCATGTACTCTTTTGTGTTGTGAATGTATCCCGCATGGAGAACTTTTGTATTGAAACCATTTATTATATATATGAAGATGAAAGGTGTTATTGTCATTGTATTGAGAATGTTTGTTTATTTGGGGAAGTTCATGTAGAATTATTTTCGGGGGGTTACATCTTTTGCTTGAATTTATCATGGAATACTATTTCGAACTGCTATCAGTTGATATTTTCTTTGTTGCCAGTTTGAACTGCTATAATCGTACTTTGAGTAGCCTTCATGGCTCTTTTTTGCACCTGATGACAATTGATATATTTAACTGTGTAAACTTTGTCTTAGATGTGGAGCAAAAGTAAATATATTATGCATACTTGTGCAATTGGTTATAGAGGTGTGGATGGATGGAAGAAAGATATTGGAGAAAGGTTTTCTATGGAGGATCCTCTCTCTCATTCTCTCTCTATTTTTTTTTATTTTTTATTTTTTTGTAAGTTCATTAATGTAATCTTTTGAAAAGGTGTCTAAGCCATTGCCTTGAAAATTTGTCATGCATTACAATTATTTCATGCCTGTTATTTTATATATGTTTCAGAGAGTTTCTTTGTCATTTTTTCTTGACATCATAAAATTGCTGACACTAACATCTGATTATTATTTGCAAAATCAGGAGGATAACATCAGGACTATTGGTGTAAACTGCGATCAGATGAAATTTTGAATTGTGTTTCATGTTATGTTCTTTACTTGGAGCATGGCATTTAGGGATGTTAATCATAAATCATTATTTGCTTCATAGAACTTGTTCAGATTTCTTTTGTTGAGCATCTTTCATGGCATTCTTTACTTGGCAGCATGGCATTTAGGGATTTTAATAGTCTTATTTCTTCCTAGAACTCATTTAGTTGGATCCTTTTGTGTTCCTTGAGTTAGTAATTCATTGCTTTTTTAAAACATATTGCTTGTGTATTTGGCTTGTCTTAGAATCTTCTAGGTTACTACTTCAAGTAAAAGATGGAGAAAAAGGCAGTTGGGTCTACAACTTTGCTTTTAAACATTGTGCAAATATGTCTACAACTATGATATTAACACCTGGGCCTGTGATTGATTTTCTTCTGGCCAATCAGAATGCACAGGAACCTCGTAATATTGACTAGGCAAAGGTAATTTATTGGTAGTTTGTTCTGTATTTTATTTTTATTATCTGTCAATTGAAATTGTAATTGTTTGGACATGTTCAGGCTAAGAAAATGCTAAAAAATATGAGCGTTAAGACAAGGCGCAACAACATGGAATTTAAGATCATAGGCTTGAGTGAAAAGCCTTGCAATTAGCAATTGTAAGTGCTTTGCTTGTAAGTGCAGCCCTGTATAAGTCTGCAACATATATCCATAGCAAAAGTATGACAGCAGTAGCAACATATGTCCATTGTAGCAGCACAACAATAGTAGTTGCAATCATTAAGCACACCTATATGAGCACAAGAAGTATTGCAGCAGTAGCTGCAGTCTTTAAGCACCCGTAGGAGTAGGTATTAATACTAGAGACCAAGTTAATCACCAAACCTGTCCCAACAGCTTTAGATGAACCTGTCCAGGAAATAGGTTCAGTGATGAATTGCCAATAGATGGAATTGTGTGCCTCAGAATAGGCCATCCAATTTATGATACAAGCTTGAATACCACGCTTTACCCTGGTATCATCAGTGAGTTTCATATAACGTACCAGGGAAGAAAAATAAGCCACACTCACAGATATATATATATATATAGAGAGAGAGAGAGAGACCTCGAGTGTAGAAATTCATCAATATCTTCATCTTTCAAACCTTCATCTTCCCTTGGATAGGAATCTTGGATTACTCTTTTACTTGATGAACATGGATCTCTAGCATTTGTATTAATCCGAGAATGCCTCTTATTTGTACTCCTTTGGGAGTCACCATTGTCCTTTTGTCTCCTACCACTGGTACTGTCATCTCCCATTCTCTTTTTGAGCCTATCATCTTGCTCTAGTTCCTTCGGACACGCTACATCTCATTTACTTCCATAGCTCAATATTCTGGAGTCAACAAATTTTTAAAGTCAAGCTGACATATGGACATCAAAATGTTAATGGCATATTGATAATATTAAGACATCCCATAAACACTCTCAAAAAATTAGAATGAGTTTATTTATAGAATATAATGAAAAGCTAGAAAATTCATCAATGCCATTGAAACTACAATTAACAAAAAAATACAAATTCATTGTTCCCATGCTTAAGGTGCTTTTTATGAGTCTCAAACCAGAGAAAATGCCGGCAGCCTTTTTTTCCTTTTTGTTTCCTTTTTTCATTGGTACATTGGAGGAGGAGAGGGAAGCTGTACCTATGACCTCCTCTTAGTGAGGTACACGGTTTCTGGCCACTAAACTAACCCCAATGATTTTTTTTTTCCTTTACGTTCTTTTCTTTTCTTTATGTTTGGGGAAGGGGTTGCAAGCAATACCAAAATGGAGTGTGAAAGAGAGAGAAAGAGAGGTGAACCAGAGGTGATCCACCAGCTTGGCTGCAAGGAATACCAAAATGGTTATAGACTTGGATTCAACATCAATCCATTCGAAATATACAAAGAACAAAGAATATTATATATGATTATAAACAAGACATGTACTTTGGATATCAAGACAGTGCAATTAACCCTTTATTTTATTTTATTTTTATTTTTAAATTGATAGGAGAAGATGGACCAACTTCGTGAGGAAGCTTCACAGCCTAGAGCAACCGCGATGACACAAGAGCAAATTTCTGTTCAAGTTCTTGGGAAAAGGTCAAGGTATTTGAAAGGTTTTGGGGTTGGTCCAAAGCTGTCTTCCGCTTTCAAGTCTACAGTTAGGTCACAAGCACATGATAAAGAGGTTAAGAGCCTTAAAGAAAAGGTAGCATCATTGAAAGGGATAATTCAATCATATGAAGGATCGTTTGAGCAGTTCGAACACTTTATGAGACAAATGAAGGGCGATCATACTAGATACGACTCTTTTGATGAGTAAGTACTTTAAATGTTATTACATATATTAGTGCTTTTAAAATAGTAATATTTTATAACTAACCAATTTTACTTGTTCCTTTTATGCATGTTGTTCAAGTGACTGTTAATATTTGTTCCACTAAAGATATCTTTAATTTTCTAATCAGGATCCAAATCCTTAAATTTTTAATGAGTTTGTATCATGGGTAGGAAACTTAATATATGTTAAGTGAAATCGAATATGTTAAAATCATCTTAATGCAATATGTTAAGATGTGATCATGACGTTCAAAAGGTTCTGTGTGATTGCTAGTTTGAGAGTGGAATTAGATCCATAGAAGTATAAGCAAAAATATTATTATTTAACAATGCCTTCTTTATTTTTTTTTCCCTTGCAGGTAGCTAGAGGTGTAGTGATGCATGTTTATGGACATGATCAGTTTGTTGGTGCATAAATTTTAAGTTATGCTTATACGTGGACTTTTTGATATATTTCGCATCAGACAAATATGACACGCACTTGGATACATGAATGGTTTTTGAAATCTTTGATAATTTTCTCATATATGTTTTTGATTTGGTGACCATCCATTGTAAAGTAAATGATGTAAGTATGGGAATTTTGTAAAGTAATGGATGGATAGATGGTTATTTTGTAAAGTAAATAGATGGATAGATGGTTATTTTGTCAAATATTAATGTGTTCACGTTGACAGGTGGTAGTAATTAGATGGGTTAATTATTATTTTGAATTCCTTTTGATGGTTTTTTGTTTGTAGATTGAATTGTTGATGGATTGGCATGTTGAAATTAATTGGATGGACATGAATTATGCATTAATTGTAAATGTATTATAGGTATTACAAAAAAAGTAGCATTACATTGCCAAAAATGTTGTTTAAAATTGAAAGTCTTTTTGCGACCAATAAAATTGTAGTCGCAATAGGTGCTTGACAAGCTTGTAGCTGTGCTACACTTTTTGCGACTAAGATAGTTTTGGTCACCAAAAACCAGATTTTAGTGACTAAAACTGGTGGTCGCAATTGTTAACTTTCCACGACTAGATATTTCGTCGCAAAATGAACTACTTTTGAGAAATTGAACTACATTCCGCGACCAACATATAAGGTCGCAACTACTTTTTGTGACCAACTTTACTTTTGGTCGCCAAAAACCACCTTTCAGTGACTAACATCGGTGGTTACCTTTCAGTGACTAAATTTTGAATCGCAAAATGGGCTACTTTTCGCGACCAAGAATGTGGTCACCAAAAACCTACTTTTCGCGACCAACTTTAGATTAGGTCGCGAAAAACCTTCTGTAACCAACTTTTAGCAACTTCATTGCAACCAACTTTTTTTGGTCGCTAAAAGTGTTATTTCTTGTAGTGGGAGTGTTGAGGAGATGGGGTGGACATTTATATCAGATAGACAGAAGGGGTTGGTTGAAACATTTGTAGAGTTATACCTTACTGCAGATCACAGATACTGCCTAAGACATATATATAGTAACTTCAAGACAAAATACAATGGTTATGTGTTGAAAGACCTGTTCTAGAAAGCTACATTAACTGGAAATGTGCATGAATTCAATTATTGGATGAAGAAGATTGAAGAAGCTAATCCTAAGACTGGAAATAGGAAGACAGCTTTGGAGTGGTTGAGGGGGACTGACCTTGCTTTGTGTGCAAGGTCACATTTTTCTCCAAGGATCAAGTGTGACATCTTTGTGAACAATTCGAGTGAGTCATTCAATTCTTACATTGTAGAAGCTAGAGAGCTACCAATAATCTCCATGCCTGCATGGATCAGAAAGAAATTGATGCAAAGGATTCAAGTTAATGGAAAAATACGGTGGTCAGATTTGTCCCAATATTTATGACAAACTTGAGAAATTGAAGGTGGAATCAAGGAATTGTTTTGTAACTTGGTGTGGACAATTGGAATTTGAGGTTATAGCGATCCTGATTTTTCGTAAGTCATTACTTATTTATTTATTATTTATTATTACTTTATTTTATTTTTGACTTTACTAATTGTATGGATGCATGGGAATTTAATAAATGTGTTATTTAATTATATATAATTAATTCGAATATTTATATATATTTATATTTTTTTTATATAAAAGGTAAAAATAATAATAAAAGGGTTAGGGTTTATTTTGGTGGGTTTATTTTGGTGGCTTCATTAATTCTCCAAATATTTTCTTGATCTTCAAAAAATAATAGTGAGTGCAAAACCCACTTTCCTTGATTTATGTTTATTTTGTTGTTATTATTTATTTATTTGATGTTGGTTTGATATTATATTTGCATGAAAATGATGGATTGATTCAATTATTTTAATTAGTTGTGTATGCAAGGTTTAGGATTTTTATATATGTTTATTTTATAGATGTAATCACACTCATAGATATATGAAATTAAAATAAACTAGGAACCCATAGATAAATTCCAAATACTCTACCATGACTCCATGGATTGTTGTTTTATTTGAGTGTTGGTGAGAAAGAGTGTATAAAAAAAAAAGTGAGGATTATGAAATTTATTTGAATGCCTTAGGCTCGGCATTGTTATGTTTGTTCTCATGAGTAGATGAGGAATTTTGTATATATATATATTGTTGTCTCGTTCTCAGGAGTAAACGAGTGCTTTGATTTATACGCGTACGTATATGCGAACCGTCCGAAGAGTGTAGGTCAAACTCGGGACGATATCCCTGTGCATGTTTGGCTTCGGAGCGGTATTAGATATATGAGAGGCACATGGGATATATGTTTAGGCCAGAAGTGAAGGGCCGAAGTCATGGAGTTAAAGTACAAAGAATTGAATAAGAACTTATTGGTATAGTTTGAATTGTATTGATTTATACATCTTGAAAAATAGTAAGTGACCTTGATAAATTACAAAATTTAGGCAAAGGCATGTATACGTAATTCTAGACAACTTTTATATTTTAACTTTGTACTAAAAAAATTGATTAGAACTTGTGATCGGATGATCTTGGTTATAATAGTTTTTATTCATTTTAGCAATGCAGATTTTAGATACTGTTTTAAACCATGAAGTGAGCTTATTTTTATTGATTTTGCGAAAAATGAAGTAAAACATTATCTTAAACACTTTTCGTGTTTTGAATTTTTCTAAAAAAAATCATCTTAGGACAGTTTCACTACAGGAAATGACAGTTTTGGCGACCAAAATATCGGTCGCCAAAAGTCCCATTTTTGGTCGTCGAAAGCTAAACATTTGGCTACTAAACTTTGGTTAGTCGAGAAAGATGATCTTTTGGTGACTAAATTATTGGTCGCCAAAATTGAACTTTTGGCTACAAAACTTTGGTTAGTCAGCAAAGGTATCTTTTGGCAACTAAATTATTAGTCACCAAAAGTTCTCACAGAAAACTAAATTAAATTATTAGAGACTAAAATTTTAGTCGCTAATAGAATACGTACATTTAGCGACCAAACACTTTAGTCGCCAAAGGATGTCATGTTTTTAGTGACTAAAATATTTGGTCGGCAATTAAACTTCTCTCATTCTGATTTGTTTTAGCTACTATGTGGTTTGGTCACAAAAAGTCATTTGATTATTTTTTGCTACTAAATGATTGGTCTCCTAAACATTTGCTTACATTTTTGGCTACCAACATATTTAGTCACCAAATACTATATTAATTTTTTATTTAGTTTTAATTTTTGAACCACCTGTATCCATTATTAGTGCAACCTGTATCCTGTATAAACAATATAATCCATCAATACTGAATATATTATCAACCATTCAACAACTTGCATGCATTTCACTTCCAACCATCAAAAAAAATTATATTCAACGTCCAATTCTAAATTTAATACAAATTCCATACGAACCAAGTATAATTCAACCCCAATAATTCAATTCCATACATAATAGAAGATTAACCAAATTTAATATCCAAAAAGAAATCTATACCACACCAAAAATTTATTCTGTACTGCTCCAAAAACTAATTTGTACCACGTCCAATGCTAATTTCTATCGGGCCAAATTTTGGATATTTACCACTCCAAAAAACTAATTTGTATGAACCATTATATATACGGACGGAGATATAAAAATAATATCCTTCCGTACTTGTCAAAAAAAGTCATATCCACATTTGTACGTCAAAAACCATCTACAAAAAAAATAATAATAATCATTAGTATTGACTAAATATTGGCCAATTTAAAATTAAAAAAAAAACATATAAAACTCGAAATTAAGTAATCTTTTTAAATTAATCATTAGTTTTGCATACTCGAATATGAAATAAAATTTTTGATGTTCAATCTGAGTACATACAACATATGAATCTAGTTTGTTTCTTTCTTGTCACATGCTTTACTCCATAAATCACCAGAAATGTGTGTTGATGAATTGTGTTGCTTTTGTTTCTTTTAGGATTAATGACTGATTTTGAGTTGCTTTTTCACATTGGATGATGCCTGTACTCAGGTATTTCATTAGTTTGCTCAATGGTAGAAATTAATCCTCAGTAGTCTTATGATATTAATGCAATGTAGACAGTACATATTTAAAATTAAAAAAAAAAAACATAATCATGTTTATAGTTTACAAAATGTCTTCTAAAAGCTTGATGCTTATAAATGTATAAACATGGTTATTCAGCATTTCAAACTTTCTTAAATATTTTCATCACAGGAAATGCTATTTGCTCCGTAAGGATAAGTTGCAGCTCTCTAGACTGCTTGTGAAGCTGATAGAAATCTCCAACAATGCAATAGCAAAAGCAAATTAGATGCTTGAAGAACATAGAAATAGTAGCATTAGTAAAGAACTATAGCTTTCTTGTCTTCTAACTTAGAATTGCAGCAGATGAAATTGCTATGAAAGTGAACTTAGAGCATACCGCATCTAGATCTATTTGAGCAACCACCACCTCAACATCCTTCGAAGAAAATTGTGAGCCTTGAGCAACCACATCCCCATTCACAACAACACAACAACATCCATCTGCCATGGATGAAGTTATTAACGAAAAATTAACATCTTTTGATTATCTTGTAAGTAATAAAAGAAAGTTCATGAAAAAAAAAAAGTTATTGGAAAGGGTACACCATGTGTGGAAACAATAGAAGTCAATTAAGGGCTGGTTATTTACCATAATAAAGGCGGCCACCATCATATCCTTGGTGATTACTGTACATGTAAACTCCTCCACGACTATGTGTAACACCTATAAAAGCACGAAGGCGAAGGTCAAGCTTTCGTAGTTGGTGATGACTTCCACTAGTATTCATAAACACTTCAACGCCATTCAACGCAAGCTCAGCATGCAGGGGAATGAGAGTAAATAGCTCTTTACAAACTTCAGCTGCGACCGCTCTGTCAGCACATGAGTTCTTAAAAAATTAGTAAGTCATGCACCAACTGATCACAAAAAGAAAAATTGCCTAACAGGTAGTCTATTAATGCATATGCCCAATGTTGTCCTTCCATGTATCATAGCTTTAGCCTAAATCAATCATGAAAATGCAAGAACTATCCCACATGTCGTATGGACATCATTGGTACTGGCAGCCTGGCGCATGTTACAAGCATGGCAGGTTGATCTAAGGCAGAAGTTAAGCAAGTAATGTAAATCTAACAAAGAAATAAAACTCTAATTCCAGAAGTACACAATTAGACTCTAAAAGACTAAAATGAGGATATAAATAGCATATCCCATAATTATTCTTTGTAGATTTTTTTAAAAAGTGTACTACTATAGTCAGCCAGTGATAAGAAAGAAACAAAACACACATTTCCACACTGAATAATTGGATTTTAAGGTTTAATAGCAACACAAGGATATGAAATTAGTATAGTCAAGTGTATGCCATAAATATAAGGAGAAGGAGCCTAAAACAGATACACATTGATAACATCTGGGGCTAACCTCAAATTAGCATGGCTTGTAACCATGCTAATTATCTTGAAAGGGCTTTCAAATGTATTCTAAAGTATGCTTAATATTTGTGAGCATTTTCTAATGCTCCTGATTAATTGGCTCATATTTCAATAAATAAATTTAAGGGTAAATTAACAATATCTCCTTACAATTTTCCTAATTACATATTAGCCTCTGTTTTTTGTTTAATAATTACATCTTTTACTGTTGGTGAATGAGGGCTATTTCACAAGTCCAAATATGAAGCATTAATTAAGTACATACAGAAAAGCACTCAGTACAAATACTAATCAGTTTTCCATATATAAAAAGCATTAATTAAGTCCAAATACTAACCAAGATCACATGAATGCACCATACATATGCTACTATTGTTTTCCATATATAAAAAGCACTCAGTACCCAATTTACTGAGTGTGTATGTGTGTGTGTGTGTTTCAAGAGATGAAGAAGACCACTAACCTCTTTTTATTTTTTTTATTCACTTAGTTGATGAGTAGAACTCATACATTACTTAATTATAATTAATTCTTTATTTTCTTTTCATATTATTTCCTAAATTAATTTACATGCAATTAGTTCTAATTAAATTATATCTCATCATCTCATAATCTCAATTACAATATATTAAATTATACTAATGTGAATTAGGCTCTAATTCCTATCAAATTATTTAATTCTAACTTATTAAAATTAGCAAATCATATAGGTTTAATTTTCATTCTAACCTATCTGTTCAAGCAATACAAGTCAATAAATCTCATAACAAATAAGTGAAGCATCTTAGACGAGAAAACTAATATACTTTAATTACTTATGATTCTCAACCAATCATATTGATAAATCTTAGGTTGCAATTTGTCCTACTTGATCGAAGCCCAACCATACATTACATGTTAAGATTACATTATAGAAATAAGTTCATACCACTCTACAAGGTTTCAACAAGAAAGAGGCTCAAAATTTTAAATGAAACATTTATACTACTTACTTTTCAACAATGGAGCAAATTTTGGCAGTAAGATCTCCTTCGAAATCTTGATCACTTACTTCCAGATATTCAATAAGCTCTTTTGTCAGAGACTTTACATTGCTTTCATTTACAAGAAGATACACAAGTTCAAGGGCCCTTTTCCGAATAGAAACATCTGAATCCTGAAAAATGTATAAGCAAAGTCAAGATAACAAGAATGCACCATAGTCAAGGGGTATGCATAAATTTAATGCTCATATTGTTGTCACGGTTTGACAGGAATCTTCCCAAAATATTCATGGCAAGCACCCGCAAGCCGCTGTTATCTTCAATGCTCATAATTGTTTCAACACATTCATATAAAATGGCATTCCCGACATTTTTGTTCGACTCTGTTTTTGTTGCAACCTGGAAAAAGAATACAGCAATGTCACTAGTACCATTAGACTTTGTCCTATGAATAGGGTACATTTTCTGCATTCATATTCAAGATAAATATGCTCATCTACTTTGAGATTGTAAGAGAAACAATAGAAAAATAATGATATTCACACTCCACTTTTAGCCTCACACTCCACTTGCGAGAGGCAAAGCACAAACAAATGAGTGTAGTAAGCTTAAAGTGCAGTATAAATATCATTGCCATAGAAAAATGTTACATATAACTGATTAGAGCATGCATCATCAAGTCAAAAGAGAGAGAGTATTCATCCATCATGTAAAGCATAAAAAAACATACGTATGCACATCTTTGCAAGACCACAGGATAATTTATTTTATCGAGCATGCAAGAGCACAATCATGCATTATCAGATCAAAAGAAACAATAGTCATCAATCACATGGAGCATAAACAAAACAAGTATGCAAGAACACAAAGCAGAGAAGATTGCCATTGAGGTAATATATCTCATTGAGACCTCGTTTGGGAACAAACTAATTTAGTAACTTTTTGGCTATTTGGCTAAAATATGAGCTAAAAAAAATTAGTATATTTAGGATGACTTTTTGGCTTTTCTCGAAAAGATGTGCAAAAAGTAGAGAGAAAAGAGAATTTTAACTTTCTGGTATGCGTTGTTGGCTTTTTGATTTTTTTAGTGACTTTTTAGCTTTTTGGCTAAAAAGCCACTTGCCAAACGAGGCATGAGTATGTGTAATTGTAGACCAAGGTACTGAGCGGTTGAGAAAACAGACAATAATGCATGTAAATCATTTGGATAGTTACAAATTTAGATAATATGTTGACAAATAAGCAATAGAAGAAAATAGTAAAAAAATGACCTAGATTTCATTCACCAAAAGTAGCATCATAGTGAATTGTCAATTCAACCACAAATGAATTTCTGGTTAAAAAATAAATATATAAATAATCACACAGTAATAATAAATAGTAAATAATAACATACAAGACGTTGTCAATAGTTTTATACACTTTTTCAACTAATATAGCATGAATTGATTACAGGGGCGGGGGAGTACAAATAGCAGCTGACCTGAGCAAGAATGTCGTTCATGCAATCGCTAGCATCTGTATCTCCATGACCCAATATGCACAAAAACCTGAGTAATCTGATATGGAGAAAAGGATCTGTAATCCCAGAGATGTCATACTCAGGTGCATATGGACTGTTCGCAACATCCTTTAAAGATTTGACCGCAACCTCTGTGCATTTCTACAATCACATAAAGATACAATTCTAGTCACATTGAAAAATTGATCAGGTAATCAAAACATGATACCCCGTATTTCTAGAAAAAAAAAATCATTCTACAACCAACAATAAAGCATGCAGTCAACTTAATTACTGAACCAACAAACCAGTCCTCAAAACCTCCCTATGACATTTTTACATACACTTGGTGAGCATAAATCAAAAAGATCAAAGAAGTACACTGTTCACATGTAGAGCAGGGAATTGCAATAACACCAAGTTTTAATTCCATTAAATTACATATGGAAGAGATCGGCGAATATGTGAAGATTTATTACTCGTTGAGAAGGAGATCGTCATAGAGGAGCATGCGAGCGTTAAGGTGGAGAGGGTCGGATCCCTGAATCTGGTGGCAGACAGAGGGAGAGGAGTTGCCGGAAGAGCTGCTAGGAGGAGGAGAGAGAAAGAGGGAGAGGAACATGGTGTGGCGATTGCTGCCGCCGTGGGATGGTTGGAGGACGATGGCGGTTGCCTCGCCAGAGAAAACAACCTCGGCCACGAGAAATAGGATCGAGACGGCAGTGGTGGTGGCGACCTGTGGCTGCGGTTGCGCCATTGGTGGGTGGAATTGGAGGTCAATGAGAGAAGTGAGAAGACGGTAGGTCTCTCTTCTCGCTAGAGAAAGAGAAGATGGGGGAATTGATTAACCCACGGTTTGGGTTGAAAACAGAATACATATATAATTAATAATAATTCGCGACTAAATATTTTAGTCGCTAATTATTTTTTTAATCCGTTTGAAATTTGAAATCTCCCTCCACATATTTTAGGTTTTTGGCAACTAAAATATTCTTTTGTCGCTATAAATATACTTTTGGCGACCAAACTTTTGGTTGCCGAAGATAAACTATTTTTTTTTTCTTTTCATTTGGCTACTAAACAATTTTAGTAGCTAAAACTAATTATACGACGACCAAAATATTCTTTTGTCGCTGAAAATATACTTTTGGCCACCAAATTTTTGGTCGCCAAAGATAAAAAATAATTTTTTTCTTTTCATTCGGCTACTAAACAATTTTAAGTAGCTAAAACTAGCTCTACGGCTACTAACATTTCTTTTAGTCGCCAATTGTGATATTTTTAGCTACTAAAATTTTTTTTAGTCACCAATTGTAATATTTTTAGCTACTAAATTTTTTTTAGTCGCCAATAATCAATATTCCCTGACTAAAAAAAAATTAGTAGCTAAATATTTGACTTTTGCCGACTAATATTGTTTTTGGTAGCCAATTCCTATACTTTTGGTGACTAAATTTTTTTAGTCGCCAAAAATGGTCGCCAAAAATGTATTTTCTTGCAATGTTTCTTTTCATTTTCAGTTTCAGGTTTTTTAGTTGAATTCCGTCTAGGTTCTTCTATCAAGTTTTTTTCTCTCAACCTGTTCAGTTTCTACTAAATTTGTTCACGCTAGCTTTTAGGAAATTTTATTATGTACAACTTTTGTACTTTGAGTTTTGGTCAATTCGAATGATTTAAGCATAAAACAGTGCGTTTTTATACTTTTTCAGCAATTTACTTACGATTAAATTATACTAACTTTATTTTTTTTCAAAATGGTGGATCTTACTAACTTTTTATGCAGGGTTAACCCACCATATTTTTATTTTTATTTTGTTTATTTTATACTCAATTTACATTTAGTTGTGTACAGACAAAAAACTAAATACCACCGTATCTTAAGAAATTACCATTTCATCTCGGTGCGGGTAGAACTACTTGTCTTATCCTGTAACAAGAATTACATGTACTTTTATTTGTGCCTGGTGGACACATGGTGTCAAATATTTGTACTCATACCGGTATACTTGTATACTAGCCCGTTTTGTCTCTTGGCATCTCAGGTGTGTTCTATTTGAGCGTAGCCAAGCTTCCTTTGCAAGATTAGTTGGGGCTACGGTGGTGACGAGAAATAATTACATTTGTAGGACATGTCTTTTGGACTTCTTTTGTTTTCTAGAGTTTAGGGTTAAGATTAGTTTATTGATTTTTTTATGACTTTAGTATTTTGACAATTTGCCATTGTGGGTTATTTTTCAACTTTACATTATTTAAGTTGTTTTGACTAGTTGTTGCTACTTTAATGTTAGAGATATTGGATAGTTATGAATCTATGATAGATAGTTTGGTTGGCGCTTATTATTATTTTTTTTATCCCTTTTATTTATTTATTTTTAGTATTGAAATTTACTTAAATCTTATGGAAACGAGAACATTTAGATTTTGTTTCACCCCTAGGGTTTAGATGATGAAATATTGATTGGAGTTTAGTCTTAATTTAATATTTAATTGTCCAAATTTTGGGGTTTGACAGAGGTTGATCATTTTTAGAAGAGGTACATAGTGGACCTAAGTAGTAGGACATGCAGTTGCTAGAGATGGGATTTGTTTGGTTTTCCTTGTAGCCATGCCATCAATGCCATTCAAATCAATCATCAGCAGCCAAAAGCCTATGTGCACGAGTATTATAGCAAGTTTAGGTACTTTGATACATATGCATTCATGATACACCCTATTCCAGACATGCATGAGTATGAGAAAGGTGGCCAGAAATTGAATCCACCAAAAGCAAAGAAATTAGCAGGCAGACCAAAGAAGTTAAGAAACAGACAAGCAGATGAGTCAAGAAATCCACACAAGGCATCAAGGAAGAACATCAATGCGACATGTGCTAAGTGTCTGCAGAAGGGGCACAATTAGAGGTCATGCAATAACAGACTGCATCCTAAGTTCAAAATGGTAAAGGTTAGTGTATAATTATGCATTCATTTATTATAGACATGTTGTTATTTGATTTGTAAAGCCTCTGGTAACTTAATTTGTCTGTTGCAGTAGAGATCTACTAGAGGGCAATCATCTCAACCTGCACTCCTACTCCAACAACAAATATCCCATCCAATGAGGTAACCTACTTTTAATAGTTAACTTTTAATGTTGACTTATAACTTTAATTAGGGAACTAACATTAGTTTGCCCAATTTGTTCCTAACTGAATTTTTTTTTGCCTCAGATATCCAATAAGAGGCAAACAAGAAGAGGAGGCCAAACAGCATCTTTGCCACCAATGACTACTACTTCTATTGGACTGAAGAAGAGGAGTACTAGGTCATTCACTCAGATAACTCATTTATTTATATAAGTAACTTTTTTATTTTGTAACCTTTGAGTTTGTTAATTGAAAATGTTGTTGCAGCCCACAAAACTACAAACCCATCGTGGAAAGACATCAAGTGGTCTTGGCAAAGGACCTGAAATCACAGTTGGTGGGAGGGGTAGAGGACCAATTAATGCATCTGCAGTCAATGTTGGAAGAACTAGAGTGAATACTTGAGTGAATGCTAATGTCAGAGGGCATGTTGTTTCAATAACTTCTGTACTAGAGACAATCGAAGCAAAGAGACATACCAAAGAACTAGCTAGTGGGTTAAAGTAGACTATTGGGTTACCTGTTATTATTTTTGTTTTTGTAATGAAACAATACTGTGGAGTGTGTTGTGTTTGTATTTAAGCTAAGGAATGATAGACACACACTTAGAGTTATGGTTTTTGAAAAATTGGTTAAACTATTGTGGAAATTGTTGATGTGTTTTTTGTATTTAAGTGTGGTATTCAAATGCAGCATACTTCTGTAAATGGACTAGTATTGAATAGCATTGTCAATATGAGGTTTTTTTTGTCATTTTTGTTCCATTGATTGAAGTGCATTGATTTGGAATGAATTGTTTGTTTTGCAAATCAACATAGCAGGGTTACCATTGCTTGAAGTATACACTAAGTTTGTTCGTGTTGGGATCATTTTAATGTTGGTTGTATTTTTTGCATTGGAATGCAGTAAAAAAATTCAGAATTTTTTGATTTTTTTTTCAATTTGACTCAGCAGGGTTTGTGTTGGAATAATTTTCAATGCATTTTCATGTTGCAATAAAAAAAACATACAAAAATCACAAATTTCATAAACATAATTTCATTCATTTCAAACATACATCAAGTACATAATGCACCTTACAAATTCATTTCATACTGAACATTAACATGGTGGTAATGAAACACACAAGCAAAACCACTATAGATGTCTTCATCATCATATTCAGTGCCTCCATCTTCATTTGTTGCTTTATCAGTCTTCCATTAAAGTGCACACCTTCCTTAACTCTTAGCTTCTCATCATTAATGTTATCTCTTCCATAGATGAGAGCATATCCAACTGGGTTGCACCAAGCCCAGAAATCACGACCCTCCAAACCTGTCTTTTCGCACACATAGTATAACCTACCTTTTGAAGGCTTCTCAAACTCTACGATTCTAATAGTTGTTTTTTTCCCACAACGACAAATTTTGCTCATGAACCTCAACATTTGTCTTTCTTTACCGCCAATGCTTGAAGATGACATTTTTGCTTGGTAGACTTTCCTGTAACTCAACATACAAAGCAAGGAGGCAGTATAAAAAGCAATCTTCTTGTGTAGGCTTTTATTTGTAACTCTAAGGGCATATTGGTCTTTTAATTGTGAGGGAACATCATCAGTTCATGCCCAACTGCACCACACTCGCGTGTACTACACAACCTGTTAGAATATATGAAAAAGCTAACTATGCACATTACCCCATTAACTACAGGGGGTTATGTGGTGATATTCGAACGTCATGGGGTAATCTGCACATGGCAAAAACCATAGAGGGGTAAAGTAAAGTTTGTCCTAATATGTTATATATATATAACCACTAATTTGTAAGAAATTTCATATTTTAAATCTCTCATACCCATTTTTATATTGATATTTCATTGAAAGTTAAAAATATATATATGTATTAACTATAGCGGAGTGGAGCGGTTCGGTTGGCGAATTATAAATTTTAAAATTTAAACCTCTGTTAACGGTTAGAGTAGGGTGAATTGATGTGGATCAATGCGATTTTAGCGGATTATGTGGTATTTTAAACAAACGTACTTGTAGGGGTGTGTTAAGAGTTTATTTGAATAATTTGAATATTGTTAAGTTGTAAAATATATCATCTATATAAAAAAAATAATAATAATCAAGTCTTAAATATAATACTGATAGTTTATTTTTTAAAAATCAAAATACGGTCTTATTATGAGGTTATACTTGATTAATTAATATAATTTTTTTATAAGTATTTTATTTAATAAATTTTATAATATAAACCATTAAGATCCTTCAAATAGGCTCAAGCACTCTCACGCAACCTCGCGACATAGAGGCCTCGTTTGTTTTGGGGTATAATAGATGGGAGGGGATTTAGATGGAGGCGCAGTTATTTAGGCACCGTTTGGGAAGTAAGTTTATGGGCTTTTTTGGCTATTTTAGCCACAAAAGACAAAATAGGCTATTTTAGTCATAACAAACAAAACATCACATCCAACCCATAATCATTACACTCTTCTCTCACAAAAAAAGTCAAAAAAGCCAAAAAGCCAAAAAGCTCTTCCCAAACCAAGCTTTTTAGCCTAGGCTAAAATAGTCAAAAAGCCAACCCACTTCCCAAACGGAGGCTTAGTGTTGTGTTTGTTTGTAGAGTTGGAGAATGAATCAGGATGGATGAGGGGATTAAAATGGAAGTTGGAAAAGAGATTGGGATGGAGGAGGTGGAGGTGGTATTAGAAAAATAGTGAGCGCATTAGAAATTTTTTTATTTTTTTTATTTTTTACATATTGAGAATTTTTTTTAAACATTAATGTTTAATTTTTTATATTTTTTCATTTGTTTTATTATTTTATATAATAATAATTTAACAATTCCTACATTAACAACTATCATCAAAATAAATACAATTTTATTTAATCCACTCATTAATAATCTACCCACTATAAATTCTTTTCATCCTATTTCTGAAAACAAACTGAGCTAAATATTCCCAAATTCCCCATTGGCGGCAGCGTTTTGCCGGCCAACCACGTACATTTCTGTTTGTTTGCTTTGTTTTTTTTTTCATTTTTCTTAACCAATAAAATGGTGCCATTTGCTATCATAATGTCACAACAGCTGAGAGCACCCTTCCCCAACAACACGGTATTTGACTATTTTTTAAAGAACAAGATGAGAGGGTTAAGTAAATTTTATTCATAAATAATTAAAAGAAAATCAATTATATAATATGTGGTAAATTATATTGACCTCATTTGAAGTTAGAAAAAAATATAATAAATTTTATAATTTTAATTCAATTATATTAATTTTTTTAAGATTTTAAATTACATAATACTTGAAATTGGGTAAGAATTGGCTTTTTTACAAAAAAAGACATAAAAAAATAGAGACAATCATACGACAAATTGTAATGATTTTTTTTTTTGGCTAAAAATCAAAATTTCCAAAACAAAGTCTTAGTATTTGAAAAATAAAAAAATGAAAATCTTACTCAAATTTTCATCAATAATTTGTTAATTATATGAAAGAAAAAAGATAATATTTACTTTATTTATCTTCGTGTCTTTACACTATCTTCATTAATTATGACCCATTTAGCCTTATTAAATAAAAAGTCAGTATAATTATACAAAAATAGGATAGTTTCAAATTAGTGTATATTTAGAAAAATATTTTTAGATTAATGGTAAATTTCACAAATATTAAAAAGTCAAATTATAAACTAATTTTTGTAAAAACCTCCATCATGAAAATTCTCCTATAAGAATTATAGGTTTTATTATCTTTTTTTAAGAGTTTCAATTTTCTACTCCTATAAAAATTAGAGATTTTATTATATTTTGTTTAAAGGGTTTAAATTCTCTCAAGTTGACAATATCAACTTGGGAGAGTATTTGGGGTTGGTAGATCTATTTTGGGGTCGATCTTATTGATTCAAACCGTTCACTTTTTAATATTTATTGAGTAGAATATTAATGTAAAAAATTAAGATGATCAAACATCAATAATTATATGTTTGAATCACATTTATATTACAAAAAATGAATAGTTACTCTTAACATTATAATTATCGCTCATTTTTAAAAAATAAATGCAATTAAAATATGTAGCATGGATTTTAAAATGTAAGCGGCTTGAATAATAAAAAACAGCCCAAATTAGGCTGAAAAAATTAATTAAAAAAATAAAATTTCTGATGACTTTTCTATACAATAATAACTTTTTTAAATTATTACTCATTTCGTCCTAATTTGTTGATCCTTTTAGCCTCCGTTTGGGAAGTGGGTTGGCTTTTTGGCTTTTTGGCTTTTTTGGCTATTTTAGCCTAGGCTTAAAAGCTTGGTTTGGGAAGGGCTTTTTGGCTTTTTGGTTTTTTTGAGTTTTTTTGTGAGAGAAGAATGTAATGATTATGGGTTGGATGTAATGTTTTGTTTGTTATGGCTAAAATAGCCTATTTTGTTTTTTGTGGCTAAAATAGTCAAAAAAGCCTGCAAACCCACTTGCCAAACACAGGCTAGAGATTTCAACTTTTCAATGGAGAATGCAATCATTACATTTAAATTTCAAAATATTCTTCCACTAATGCTAAATCTTTTCAAATTTTTAATACTCTCACCGTCAAAAAATATTAATCTCTTATTCAATTTTTCATTGTCTCAAAGTACTAGTTCATTTTCAAAAATCAAGGAATGAAAAGTCATTATTTTAAATTCATACACAAAAAGTATAATTATAATTATTGATGCTCCCAAAAAAGGTCAAATGGTATTTTGAAAAAGAGTCATGGTACGGGCCTCGAATATTGAAGCGCAAATTTACCTCGAATTTGTTTAACCGGTCGTCCGGCTGGTTGTCCGGCAAAGAGGGTGACAACCGCGGTCGACAAGGTGAGAACTGGGGTAGACAAGTGCTTTACCCGATCGTCCGAGTGGTCTTCTGGCCAGTCGACCGGTGACCACAAATTTGCGCCTCAAGCTCTCAAGGCCTGAATCATTAGTGTTTGAAAAATTAGTATTTTTTAAGTGTAATAATTATACTAATATAAAAGTTAAATTTTTCAAAAAAGACTAATATTTTAGGACAAAAGGAGTATATTTAAAATTACTCAAAAGGGAGATAAACTCCCCTTTATACTTGCATATCTCTATAATCCTCTTGTAAGTCTAAATTCAAACTTATATCAATAATCTAAATTGTCTACTTTGTAGGTTTCATAATAAAGATCATTTATGGAAAAAAATCAATTTCATCGGATATCTATAAATACAAGGACAAATTATATTTTGTTTTATAAAATGAATAATAAATAAGATTGTAAACTTAAACTATTTATTTTGTAAAGTAAAACATGATTTGTTTATATTTTTATAGTTGTACGGTAAATTTAATTTTTTTTTATATGAATAACCTTTATTGTGAAGCTTATGAAGTAGATGATTTAGATCATTAAAGTGAGTCTGAATTGAGCTCACAAGTATATGGAGAGACAAAGTATAGAGGAGAGTTTATCCCTAAGGGGTAGTTTTAGAAAGAATAATTCTTGAAACCCCTACAATTTAAGAGAGTTTATCCCTAAGGGGTAGTTTTAGAAAGAATAATTCTTGAAACCCCTACAATTTAAGACCCCCACAATCCTCAATTAATCTGTGATTACTCATTTATTTTTATTTTTCTTTTTCCTTTTCCCGCACTCTCTCTCCTCCCTCTCCCTCACAAAAAGTGTGGGGGTGCTGGCGTCTCCAGCACCACTGTTTTAGAAAATCAAATATTTTTTACTTAAGGGTTGGTTTGACATCTACTACTCCCTCCGTCCCAAAATAATGGTCCATTTTGGGGAATCCAACTTTTTTTGGTAGTACAATTATTGTACTTTTAAAAAGTTGGTTTTCCAAAATTACCCTTTGATAGTACACTTTTTTGAGAATATCAATGTCATAATTGTACTTTTTATATTATTTATGAATTTAAAAGAAGGGCAAAATGAGAAATTTATATTATTTTTGTACTTAATTTTTGAAGAGAGACTAATATTTTGGGACAATGAAAAATGGAATAAGGGACTAATATTATGGGACGGAAGGAGTATATAATCCATCTTTTTATCTTTTTTTCATCACATCACCTCTCTATTTTTCTGTACATTTTTTTGTAAAAAGACAAAAAATACACTTTTTTAAGACATCCCAAACCAACCCTTAATTTTTCAATTTTTCAAATGGAACTATCATTAAGACTTTCAAAAATAAAATAGTAAACCGACAAAATGAGACGGAACAAAAGGAGCAAAATTATTAATTAAATTTAATATTTTTTAATATTAAAAATTATTAATTAATTGAATAATTTATTAATAAAATGAGATTTGTAATTCTATATAGAGAGGGGAAGTCAGAGAGTGATTTGTAGAGGGATAGAGTTTTGATCGTAGAGAGAGAGAGAGAGATGGAGAAATTTGCAGAGCTGAGAGAAGTAGTGGAAGGTGTGGAGGTAGTAGACGCACACGCTCACAATCTGGTGGCTCTGGACTCCACTCTTCCTTTCCTCCAATGCTTTTCTGAAGCCTACGGCGATGCTTTATTGCTCGCACCCCACGCTCTCAACTTCAAGGTACATACACCAAACACCAATCAATATCTTCTTCTTTTTGTCTCCTATTTCTCAGTCTCTACAAGTTTCAACCTCAATTTATCAATTTTGTACAACAATCGGTTTTGATTCGTTGTCTTTTCCTTATGGAGCAATTTGCAAACTTGGTAAAAAAATCAAATTTTTAATTTTTACCAAGTTCTTTAAAAAAAAAAAATAAGTTACAAAAAAATCACTAAAATAGTCAATTTTTTTGCCCAAAAAAACCAAAAAAAAAAAAAAAAAATCAATTTTTTTATCAACTTCTCAAAATATTCCAATGTTTTGAAAAAATGATGAAAAATTAATTTTTTTTGATTTTTTTTATAAAAAAATAAAGGTGATATGACTAAATTTTTTTTTAAAAAAAACTAAAAGTATCTTTTTAAAGGCGTTGGCTCTGGACTGTGCTGTTGGGTCCGTGGGGGTCTACCACGGATTTTCTTTTGATAATCTGAACCGTTAATGTGCAGAACTCGTTGAGTACTATAAGTTTGTAAAAAATCACGTTAATCGGATATCGGTAGCTATGTGATCAAATCAGATTTTTGTCAACCATTAATTTATTTCCCATCTATTTTTTTTATACAAAACTAATTTGATCACGTAACTACCGATATCCGATTAACGGGATTTTTCATAGGCTTATAGTACTCGACGAGTTCGACACATTACATGATTCAGATTATTAAAACAGAACCCGTGATAAACCTCCACGAGCCCAACAACACAGTCCAATCCAATCCGCTTAGGGACTGGACAGAAGCAAGCCCTTAAATATATGTTTGGTAAAAAGGGTTACGGTGCTTTTGGCCTGTCAGTACAAATCCAGAATTTTTAAAAGTTGCCCAAAAAAAAATCATTGTGCCATACAGATTCATTTTACCAAAAATGCGCCGGACCCAGTAAAACCTACCCCACCGACCCCCCAGTGCCATGTGGCACTGCAGGATTGAAAGAAAAGAAAAAAAAAAAACAAAACAAAAAATTGGCCAATGGAGACCTGCCATCTAATTACAAATATTACATCTAATCACAAAAAAAACTCAACTACCTTCCTAAACACTAAATTTTTTTTTTCCAATAATATCCTCTAACTAACTAAATTTTCTTTTTCCAATAATATCCTGTAAGTAAAAAAAAAACTTACATAAAAACTCACCTCCCAAACACCCACTAATTATTCAAGAATTTATATTTATTTCATAAATATTCAAAAGGGTATGAAACTCCACATTTGATTCAGTCAAAATAATAAGTCTCAATGTCTCATATTCAATAGAGTTCAGCCATGGGGACACCAATTTTTACTGCATATTTTAAAGGTAATTACAAATACATTCTTACAGTTTATTTAAAATATAAATTATTAGAGTTCTTTCCAATTATATAACAAATGATCTATTTTATTAATAAATTATTAAATTAAGTAACAGTTTTAATAATGTCATAAATATATTTTAATTAATTGAGGTGATTTTATTGTTTTATAAAGGAGTTGTTAGAAATTTTATTTTTTCTATTAATCTTGTTAAATAAATTTTTTTAATAAGGAATGTTTATAATTTTTAAAATTATAAGAACAATTCATATAAATTTTGTGTTTGTATTTTACCCAATTCTACCAGTTAAGATGGTTACTTATGACCCACTCTCAACTATAAGACCATCTCCAATCTTTTTTCTATTTTTTTTTATTTATCTAATTTAATTTGATATGAATTATTTTAATCATTTCGTCAAATAGAATTGTGTGGTTTAATTGACTTTCGTAGGATTGTATCTATATTTAGGAGGAGGGATTTGCTGTCTTTGTTGTGGGGCCCATGTTGGATCACACTTAAACAGGTCAAATGAAAAATCAAATTGAACGAATTTTATTGTTATATGATTAAATTGATTTATTTAAAAGAAAAATAAGTCATCCATTTTTATCAAGATAAATATTAAATCTGATCAACTTGAATTTTTGGATATATTCTCGATGAACTATATAAGATAACAGTTTGGATCTATGGGGTGGATATACAACTGAGGGGCATATCAGGACTTCTCATCCAATTACAAGAGGTTTCAAGAAAATGACCAAGATTTTGTGATAAAGACTTAAATTATTTTATGATAAAGACTTAAATTCTATAAACTTGATTTTTAGTTTTTTTTTTTAATTTAAAAAATAATAAATTTCAATTTTTTGATGTTTAAACCACCATGTGTGGGCGAAAAGAGACATATTTGAATGACTTCATGAATTTTGTTAAGTTGTAATAATGCCTTTTGACAGAGGCTAAAAATTGACTATTTGACAGCAATAACTAATGGCTTCATAAAACTTTTGATACCATGTATGGAATTTTTTGATTCTCAATTTAAATTGCTTCATCAATTATTATGATCTTTGTTGTTTTCCAATCTGTCATCACCTCTTCAGTGGTTCCCCTGTGGGACATTTCACTTATTGTTCCTCTGTTATTTGCTCAAAAGGACATGTTTGTAGACATTCTGACTGAAGTTCTTGGACTCACTGTTTTGAGTGGCCTTTTGAAATTAATGATATAATGGTAATTAGTTAATCATCTTTATTTTTTGGTTTTTTTTAATTTTTTTAACTATAGACTTTTTTTTTTTTTTTTTCGCCAGATAGTCACTAGAAAATTATAGTTAGTTCTAGTTAGAAATTAAAATGACAATATTCTTTTTAAATGTTCGATAATGGCATCCAGAAGGATATGTTTTAAATTTTAATTGCATTTGGATACGAGTATTTGGAGCCAGTGTATGTCCAAGAGGCAAATCTTATTAAATCCTAAATCTTAGGACATACGGATATGTATCCAAAAGTTGGATATGGGTAGCTGAACACATCATGAACACGGATACAGTTATATTGCATAAATGTTATAGGTCATTTAGGAATTTACTTAAAATTAGATGGGATTTAGGGGAAAAGAGGATTTCTATCTGCCTTCCCATATGAGAGGTTATAAAATTTTCTTTATTAGTAAATTTGAGTTTCTCTTCAAAACACCATTAAAAAAAAAAAAAGAAGAAAAAAAGAAAAGTTAACAGGATCTAAGTGTCTAACTTGAGTGATATTTGATGGACACGGATACAGTCAGGAATAGAAAAGTCCATAAAACTTTGGTTCCCATTGCCTACGTTGGCCTCATCAGCAATCTTGAATTTCGACTTCTATATATATATTTTTATTGTAGCAATATGCCCAGATGTTATCTGGTTCAACTACAATTTTAATGTCATTTAAAGTAATGAATTTTACATGCTTGGTGGAATTATTATTGCCTACTCGCTGCAAGCTTTGCTGTGGTCTTGCACTGCTTGCCTGAGCCCATAAAGGATGTCAGTTACCTCATCTTTGAGGCTTATCTAAAAAACCCACTGCTCAACGTGGGCGAGCTTTCTCTACCTCATTGTTAATGTATTTGGTTTCAACCCATTTGGCAGTTACAGATGAAGATTCTTTGACATGTTTGCTGGATTGTTATGAAAATTTATGTGTAAGGCTTTCATTCTGACAGCACTCGTTTGCATTTTTCAGAGAGGTATAAGGGATATTGCTGAACTGTATGGATCTGAGTTATCCTTGGATGGCATTCAAAAATACCGCAAGGGCAATGGATTGCAATCCATAAGCTCAATATGCTTCAAGGCTGCAAGAATCGCTGCAATACTCATTGATGATGGAATTGAGTTTGACAAAATGCATGACATTGAATGGCATAGGAATTTTGCACCGGTGGTTGGTAGAATATTGAGAATTGAGCATCTGGCTGAGAAGATTCTTGATGAAGTGAGATTCTTTCAATCTTTCCCTCTGGGTAGACATAGTTATACATGTTATATTTATAGAGTAGTTAATTATTATGAATGTATCTTTTCCATTGCTAATGCATTTCACTTGGTTAGATTAACTTTTGGTAAAACTATAATTTTATGCTGTGGTCGGCATTAATTAATGCAAAAATAATTTTATAGGTTAAATCTACAAAAAATGTAATGTTCATGATACTACCATTTTCATCAGAAGATATTGTAATTGGCTTTCTCATTTGATTCGATGTTCATCTGAAAATTTAGTCACTGGCATTAGGTTTCTAGCTATTGCCTTCTTTGTCACTTTCCAAAGTAGAAGTGAAGCAGTTGATTAATGATCACATTCCATCCCAAGTTTGATGATTGTAACAAATTTTATGTTGAACACGAAGATTTGTTATGTCTAATATACAGTTAATTTGAATATTCATCATTTGGGATCATTTCCTCTGGCTAAGTGAAGAGGGCATTCTACTTGCATTAATACTTTCATAAATATTCCAATAGAATGATTTTGTTGAAGAATAATTGCATGAAATAAATGGAAAACCTGAGTATGAAGTGGTTGATGGTATTGAGATATGAATGTATCTTTTCCATTGCTAATGAATTTGACTTGGTTTGATTAACTTTTGGTAAAACTATAATTTTATGCTGTGGTCGGCATTAATTAATGCAAAAATAATTTTATAGGTTAAATCTACAAAAAATGTAATGTTCATGATACTACCATTTTCATCAGAAGATATTGTAATTGGCTTTCTCATTTGATTCAATGTTCATCTGAAAATTTAGTCACTGGCATTAGGTTTCTAGCTATTGCCTTCTTTGCCACTTTCCAAAGTAGAAGTGAAGCAGTTGATTAATGATCACATTCCATCCCAAGTTTGATGATTGTAACAAATTTTATGTTGAACATGAAGATTTGTTATGTCTAATATACAGTTAATTTGAATATTCATCATTTGGGATCATTTCCTCTGGCTAAGTGAAGTGGGCATTCTACTTGCATTAATACTTTCATAAATATTCCAATAGAATGATTTTGTTGAAGAATAATTGCATGAAATAAATGGAAAACCTGAGTATGAAGTGGTTGATGGTATTGAGAGAGAAAGGAAGAAGCGGAGGAATTGAGAAATACTTCTTCTGGATCACAGTTCTATGTTATGAGCAACTAGCATCCGGCATAAATGTGGTCCTCTTGTCCCACAGTAAAAATTAATCAATATAGTATGAACATCAATTGGGAGTGTAGCTGGGCCCAAGTGCTTGGGTGCTTGATTGGGAGCAAAATGAGAACTGGTAGACATTTTCTAGGGCACTGAAGAGAAAATATTTTCTTGTCAGGAGTTACTTCAGGCTTGTGTGTGTGAGAAGAATCTACTTACTATCTGGAATTTTCTTATTATTGAAGGCTATGAACTATTATTATCTGGAATTTTCTTTTCTTTTCTGTTTTTATTGTTAATATTATTTATTTATTATTTAGGGGAGGCCAGATGGATCTACCTGGACATTGGACAGTTTCACTGAAACATTTATCGGAAAGTTGAAGTCATATCCTTCCAGATTTTGTTTTAGTTTGTTATGTTTTTTTGTTTTGCAATATTGCAGATACCATGCCTTTTGTTCTGTTTCATCTTTTTGGTTAGTAGGAGGGAAGGAAAGTAAGTGAGCGAACTTGTTTGAATGGGGGGATTTAGAAAACCAACCTCCTTTATGTTGTGTTTAGTTGGGGGATTTGGGAAGGGATTTGGAAAGAAAAAAGGGAAAAGGTGTGTGAAATTAGGTTAACTGTAGGTATATTTTATTCATATTTCACATACCTTTTCCCTTTTCCTTCTCAAATCCCTTCTCAAATCCCCCAACCTAACACAGCGTTAAAGCTCTCCCTTCTTTCATTGTTGTTTCCACCCATTTTTGGCCAGATTGATTTTGGTGAGCCTAAACTCGTACTCCTCATCTTCTCCTCCTTTCCCTTCTCCTCCTCATACGAAACAAAGGAGAGTTTCTTAATTCCTTCCCTTTTCCTTAACCCAATTTCCTTCCTCCCAGTTTCTTCTCTACTAAATGTACTGTTGTTTGTATAAACAGATATTCCTTGTTCCACATAGTTTCCTTATCCCTTTGTTACAGTTGCTAATAAAATTGTTGGCTTGAAAAGCATAGCTGCATACTGCAGTGGTCTTGAGATTAATACAAATGTCACAAGGAAGGAGGCTCAAGCGGGTCTTGTTGAAGTTTTAAATGGTGAGTATTAGGACAATGTAGAATGGATTTTCATTGTTCTAAGTATTCACCACTGGATATTCTAATCAGTCTGTCTTTACCTTTACAGCTGGGAGCCCCGTTCGTATCACAAATAAAAACTTCATTGACTATCTCTTCGTGCAGAGTTTGGAGGTTGCCATACAATATGATTTGCCAATGCAGATACACACTGGGTAATGCGTTTACGATTGTTAAGTGGTTTCATTTGATGTGGTTGATTGCTGAGACATTTGGAAGAAGAAAATAATAACTTGCAATGCTTTTAGAAGTTTGGTATGGGCTAGATGTCCCAAGATATCAACTTATTTCTTTTTCACCTGCCCTATTGTGATAGATCAAACAGAGAATTAAGGCAAATCTGTTTTCTCTTTTTGTAGTGCTTGTTTGACTTTGACTCTTTATTGACTACATTTTTTTGTTCATTCTTTCCTCGCATCAGTTTTGGAGATAAAGATTTGGATTTAAGGCTCTCCAATCCCTTGCATCTCCGCACCCTTCTTGAGGACAAGAGATTCTCTAAGTGCCGCTTAGTACTTTTACATGCATCATACCCATTTTCAAAGGAAGCATCATATCTAGCCTCCATTTATTCTCAGGTAAGATATTGAAGATTACAATGAACAATTTGTTGGGATGTCTGTCTTTGATGTTAAACTTGCTGGTTCTCTAACAAAGCAATGCATTCAATTTTTAGGTTTACCTTGATTTTGGTTTGGCTGTTCCAAAGCTTAGTGTTCATGGGATGATATCATCTGTCAAAGAACTTCTGGAGCTAGCTCCAATAAAGAAGGTGAGAACAGAACACATGCACTTGAAGAAATATTGGAAGAAATGCTTGTTTATTTAGTAAAGAAATCTCATAAAAAAATAAAGAAAATTAAAAAACTGGCAAAATCTGACACGATAAATTTCTCAAGTTTAGAGGTTATAATTAAACATTTTTACACTTTTGTATTGAACTTAGATTAATTTGTTTAAAATCATAAGGTGAACGGAGGGTAGAGGATAATAATAGGAGAATGCGAACTGTAGGAGGACGTGCTGCAATACTCAAGGCTCTTTTGAATTTCCTTCCAATTTTTATTCATCAGTTAGCTATTCCTGTTTAAATTCCGTGAGAGTCAAGGCTTTTTCAAGAACCTAAAAATAACTAACTAAATAACTCTTTATAAGAATCCATCTGCTTTTGACTCACTCGCACATTAAATAAACATTCAAAGTTATTTATTTCTGGTGGGCCTCCATTTATGTGATCTTTATTTGACAATTCAGGCTTTTAGATTGTGTCACAATGTCCTATAAATGGACTGTGCTTTTTTTTTTTTTGTGTGTGGGTGTGTGTGTATGCCTGGGATTGGCCTGATTTGTCCTCTGTTTATTAATTTTGTAACAATTTTCATTTTCTCTATAATTCAATTTGCAGGTGATGTTCAGCACTGATGGTTATGCATTTCCAGAGACTTTTTACTTAGGTTGGTTTAAGTAGTTATCTATCAATTTTGTACTTTATTTTGTGATAATATCTTGAAAATCTTGGAGGAGCCAGTTCTGATTGCAGATTGAAATTAATATGAATACAAAATAGAGCCTATTTCTCTTGTTTCCTGGTCTTATTTTCTAGTTTATTGTTTTTACAGGTGCAAAGAGAGCACGTGAAGTTGTCTTCTCTGTTCTATGTGATGCATGTATTGATGGTGATCTTTCCATTCCTGAAGCCATTGAAGCAGCCAAAGACATATTTTCAGAGAATGCAAAAAAGTTTTACAAGATTAATTTATATCTCAAACCTTTTGATTCTAAAATCAATGAAGTTTGCAAAGTTGTGAAGATGGAGACTGATACCGTACAATCAGATGTTGCCTTTGTTCGCATTATCTGGGTTGATGTTTCTGGGCAGCACCGGTGTCGTGTGAGTTACTTTATTCATTAACTTTGTTTGGTTAGTAATTTTTGGGTTCAAATATTAATATTTTTAAGAAGTTTGACATATTATTAGAAAAGTTTGTCGAATACAGCACAGCCATTATTCTATGAAAACAGCATGCTTGAAACAAACATGCCTGTTAAGTGGTAAGAGAATACTTTAAGTTCAGTGGAAGGAGATGGATGGAAATCATCTTGAAGTCTCACATTCATCATGGGGATTGATGACTTCTTGATGACTGATTTAAAATTAAAATTGTGATTTGCTATTCTGGTTTGGTAAGTATTGAAAGGAAAAAATAAATATATAATTAATCAATCAAATTTTAGTTAAGTTAGATTACTTTTCATAGTTTACCATTTTCAAATTAGTCTGTAACGTAGGTTCCTGTACTTGTACAAAAGTTTATTTGATTGGTTCTCACACTAGACTTGATGTGATTTTCCACTTTGATTCCAAAACTGCAGGAGAGCCATTTGGCCCTCATTTCTGCTATCTTCTTTAAAACCTTGATCAAACTAAGAGACCCCTTTATTGGGTATGCATGTTATAGTAGTTAATCAATTAAATTAGATTCCTAGAGTAGACTTCATTTTTGTATGAATTTTTGTTACCAAATGTTGAGGTAGTTTTTTTTATTTTATTTTTATTTATTTAAAATGTCTGCACACCAATGTGTGGCTGGAAGTGATTCAATGGTATCATTATCATTTACTTGTGAATTTTGATATAGGGTATAGTATACAATATAGCAGTCTTGGCAGATTGCTATGAAAATCCATTGTTTTAAGACAATTTTATAGATTTAGAACAACAGCAAAGTTAGATATAGTTTGATTTATGTTTATTCGTTCCTTGTATATCATTTTTCCAGGCTGTTCCAAGAAAGCGTTTCCATGATGTTGTTGTAAAGAATGGTCTAGGCCTAACTGTCGCTTGTATGGCTATGAGTTCAGCTACTGATTGTCCTGCAGATGAGACTAATCTGACTGGTGTGGGTGAGATCAGGCTAATACCTGATTTATCAACGAAGTGTATAATTCCTTGGTAGTACATCTCTTTCATAAGTATTACCTTTGTCTCTCCATTGCAGCATAATTTTTGTTAAACATTCACGATCTTTTTTTATTTTATTTTTTATAGTTGCACTGTATATTTCACAGATCAATATCCCCGTTGTCAAAACTTGAAGAGTGAAAATGCAAAGAGGAAAAAAAAAACTCTTATCCCAAACATGGAAGATGTACACTAAGGGCCAACAAGATTGTCCCAAAAATGTGATTTGGGCAATTTTAGAGTTTACCCATTTAAATATCAGATAATTGGACGTGTTTTGACTATCAAAATGAAACAACCCAAAACTTGATAAAGACAAAAGTTTTATTCTAAAATTGTGGAATTCAAAATATTTTATGTTTAATTTCTACACAAACTTGAATGAACTCATTTACGTGTGCATAGGATTTGAATTAGTTAATTCAAAATGGAGCAATTCATGCAACCATACAGGCCCTAATAAGATGGTCTGCTTAGCGGTTTATAGTTCATTTGAGATCTTCGACAACAAATCATTATATGACTTTAGGATGGCACATGGCATGGAAAGTAATATTATGTGCCCAGTAATCAGAATAGTTTTTCACATATTTTATTCTGTTGGTCTACTATAACAAATGTGGATCATATACATTCAATAAACATATGCATATCTCAAGTGTGTTGTCTAGAATCATCTGGTTGGGCAGCAGATATATTTGTGATCATAATTTAATTTATTTTTTTTGACCTCAACAGGGCAAAACAAGAAGAAATGGTTTTGGGTGACATGCATCTTAAACCTGGTGAAGCTTGGGAATATTGCCCAAGAGAGGCATTGCGTAGAGTTTCAAAAATTTTGAATGATGAATTTAACTTGGTAAGCATGATGGTTTATTCATATGAAATATGTTGTCATTCAATTTCTAATTGTATATATATACAGGTGATGTATGCAGGTTTTGAAAGTGAGTTTTATCTCTTGAAGAGTGCGTTAAGGTATGTGATGCAATTGTTTCCAGGCCTTCTTTTAATTTTATTTTCCAGTCGATATTGCAAGTATTAACTATAAAAATCTGCAGGGAGGGGAAAGAAGAATGGTTTTCATTTGATATGACGCCCTACTGTTCTGCATCTGCATTTGATGCTGCTTCCCCTGTACTTCATGAAGTTGTAGCTGCTCTACAGTCCTTGAATATTGCAGTTGAACAGGTAGAAGGAGATAAGTATTGTCGTAGCTTTTTTGTACCGGAATTATGGGAGGTTGTTCTACTTAGGTCAAATTTTGAGGTCATAATCACACAATCCATATTATCACTTAATTCTTTTTGTAACTTCTCTCCGTGGATTGGAAAATGACTTCTTATATATTCTTGACATTGCTCAGCATGTTAATTCCAATTCTAGTGCCTCAACCATGTGAGTATATATATGCATGTATTTATTTTGTTTTTTTTAAGAAAAGAAATTTAAACCACAAAGACTTCATAATGCTCTTATTTCTAGGATTTGCTATCTCTCTATTTTCGTGACCTACCTTTGAGGTGACCCAAGTTATTATGAATTGTACATGTGTAGAAAACAATGGTCATTTGCTATTTAATTTTAAAGGCAGTTGTCTGAACACACAAGACATAAGGGTACTCCCTCTAAATTTATTGTTGTTATATGCTTTTAGATCCATCATATTGGATAACTTGATCTACACTTTTGGGCCCATTTCCTAATAGCTTAAGCTTTTGGGATTAGTGGTGATCTAACATGGTATTAGAGCTTAGGTTGGGGGAGGTCTTGGGTTCAAGACAGCCCATTTGTATTTGTTCCCTGTTTGCATTGTGCTTTCTATTTATGTATGTCAGCTTAAGGTTTTGGAATTATTGGTGATACATCGCATCATATCTATGAATAGAGATTTTTTAAATTTTATTTTGCAAATCACTAGTTAATGTATGCAACAAAATTGTTGTTTTACGTAAAGTACCCGCCACTATTAGACAGACTGTATTGTCTGATTCAAAGGTGGATTTTAGTTTCTATATATTTTTTCATTATGTTTCCAGTTCACTGCAATTCAAGTAACATGGTTCTTGTTTTGTGTTGTGGCTTTTTAAATGTTGTAGTTGCATTCAGAAGCAGGGAAAGGTCAGTTTGAATTGGCATTGGGATACACTCTTTGTTCTAATGCTGCAGACAACTTGATTTTCACTCGTGAAGTTGTTAGGTCTGTTGCAAGGAAACATGGGTTGCTGGCAACTTTCATGCCAAAGTAAGTGTATGATTTTTTATGACATGGGTCCAATTTTTTAAATGGAATTCAGCTAGAACTAAACTAGGGTATGGAGTTGGGAACAGATTCTATGTATAATGTATTTGTAAGAATTGTTCATAGTGGTTTCACCTCTCTTTCAGTGTATCAATGTTACTGTATATCTTTGGATGAACGGTGAGGAGAGTGTTCTATCCGTATGATGATATAAGAAGTATGAGCAACATTATTCTTTTGGATTAAAGGGGAAAAAATGAATATCTTTGTTTATTGTTTGTATTGGGCAAACATTTTCCTTTGCCTTGTATTTTATTGTTTCATCAGTAATCATCTACACATGTCATATCCTTTATGTACCCTATATGTCAAACCTACCACGCTAAATGACCGTGGGATTTTTCCTGTATCATTTCCGAGAGCTAGTGGAGGAGATTGTTCTATCCGTATGATGATATAAGAAGTATGATCAACATTATTCTTTTGGATTAAAGGGGAAAAAATGAATATCTTTGTTTATTGTTTGTATTGGGCAAACATTTTCCTTTGCCTTGTATTTTATTGTTTCATCAGTAATCATCTACATTTATGTCATATCCTTTATGTACCCTATATGTCAAACCTACCACGCTAAATGACCGTGGGATTTTTCCTGTATCATTTCCGAGAGCTAGTGTGATGACTGATTGAATCGTTCTAAGGTTTCTGCACTATACCATATTTGACTGTTTTTTGTTAAATATGATTTTGCAAGAGGGTAAATATGTGATTCCACTTGTTCTGTTAACGTCATTAGGCCAACATTTTTGACAAGGGGTGTTAGTGTTATTTTAGAAACCTGAAGGGTGTCCTTGTCAAAAACTTCAAGGGTGTTAGTGTAATTTACCCAGAAATTTTTTTTAGAAAAAAGACCTCAAGGGTAAGAAATACTGCTTTGAAGTTATAATTAATTGTAAAAAAAATAAAATTCAGTTTATTATTTATGTTTTGTTGTAATAGTTCATAAATACTCTGCAAAAGAATCCGTCAGTGTTAAAAATACTCACTCAAAGTTGAACTTTACTCATTTCCTCACCTGCAGAATTTTCTTCTTCAAGCTATGTCTCTTAACTGTTTTCTCCATTTTTTTGTTTGCCTCAGGTATGCATTAGATGATGTTGGTTCTGGATCTCATGTGCATCTCAGTTTGTGGGAAAATGGGAAAAATGTATTTATGGCATCTGGTGGACACTCTAAGCATGGAATGTCCAAGGTTGGAGAAGAGTTCATGGCAGGGGTTTTAAATCATCTTCCTTCAATTCTGGCCTTTACGGCACCAATTCCAAACAGGTTTTTAATTTTTTCTTATAATTTTGATGATTCTTGTGCAAAACATGTGTCAGAGTTGATTGAACCCATATGAATAGGTAGTTAGGTACTCACAGAGAAGTATGCATTTTTACCAGTTCTGTTAAAATATCTTGTCTACATAAAATTATTTTTTAAGCATGCGGTTATATTTGGAAATTTGATGGGCGTACTATTGATCTTGAGGAAAACCTTTCAAGGTGATGTTGTTTCCATCACTTTCTGTTCTGCATGAAGAAAGCATATATCTCACAATAATTTCTGGAGCCACTATTCCGCAAAGACTTTTTCCCAGTTAATCATTTGAATTGAAACAAACAGATCCTTGCATTTCTAAGTCTCCCTGCAGACTTGAATTTATTTATTTTTGTGCATGGACCTTTTTCTAATCTGGAAGTTTTTATGTAGAACTCGTTGGCCTAGAAACATAAAAAGACAGATAAGATGTTTGAAATTTTGAATGAAATTCAATTTTTGATGAATTGAAGGATTTCAATTTTCAGCAGAATATGTAACTTATTTTTTAAAAAATACATGTATTCTTTTCCTATTCTTATCATAGGTTGTCTGTGTGATATGGTCTCGTGTAAAACTCAATCCCAATAGCTAGCTTGTAAAGTGAGGGTGCACTTTTGACACTTATTCTAATTGTCGATGTTCCCTTTTTGCTAAATTTAAATAATGCCCTGCTGTGCAAATTCTTTTTGCCCATTTCTTCACTTCCAAATTTATGCAGTTTGAAGGATCAAAATTTTAGTACGTTGTTGGGTTTTTGAACTTCAAATAGATGTGTATTAAATTAACAAAAAATAATATAGTTTGTTTTCTCTAATTTCCTTGTTCAATTGTTATTGGAATGTAGTTATGATCGCATAGTGCCCAATATGTGGAGTGGAGCATACCAGTGCTGGGGAAAAGAGAACAGAGAAGCACCCTTGAGAACCGCATGCCCACCTGGGGTTCCAAATGGTGTTGTGAGCAACTTTGAGATTAAAGCATTTGATGGGTGTGCAAATCCACACTTGGGGCTGGCTGCTATAATTGCTGCTGGGATTGATGGCCTTCGTAGACATCTGAGTCTGCCCGAACCCATTGGTAAGTAGGATTATATGATTGTACTATACCCAAAGTGTCACATCGATTATTTGTTAGTGTTTTTTCTGTGCATTGTTTCTGAATATTTTTTTAGACATACCATCCATAAGTCCCCCATGTTTCATGTCCTTACGGCCCTGGCACTTACCCAACAAAAAAAAAAAATCCTTTATGAATTATGTGAAAGAGTTCAGATTCAACTGTATCATTCCTCTGGCAGTGTTCATGCCAAATATTCATACTTGGTTTGATATGCATTAGTTCATGGTATGTGCTCTGATGTTTCCAAAAACATAAAAAGTGTTTTCTCTTTTCTGGGGGATTTGGTCAAAACCCCCTCATAATAAAACTTTAATGTGTTAAGGACAAGCACAAAAAGTTTTCTTTGAAAAGTTCAACAAATATTACTATTATCAAAATATTAAACTTAAAAATAATATAACTTTTGATGCAGATGTCAATTTTTAATAAAATTAATATTTTTAGAATTCTCTCATTAAGATCTATGAAATAAAATCCATGTTGACTATGAAATTCTCTATAAAAAAAAAATGATTTCCGTTGAAATCGATGTAAACAATAACAGTAATATGTTACTTTGTCTTATAGTAACATGTTACTCTATTTGACAGTAACATGTTACTCTGGCAATATTATCAAAGAAAAAAAAAAAAAAAATTTACGTTGTCCTTATTCAATTATATGTTTTGTCCTTGGGGGGTTTATGAAGAAAAATAAATTGGGCTGTCCTTTTCACCAAACAGAGGTCCAATGAAGGGGTTTTGACTAAATTTTCCCTCTTTTTTCTTCCTCAGCAATCTTTATGTCGAATCTTCCAAGGGTCCAAGCCCATCTAGGCCCTTTGATTCCAAATTTTTAACTGTATCTCAGATGCATTTACTACAATTTGGAGTCTAATATGAGTTCTATTCTCATTCCTCTCAATCCGGGTGCTTTGGTATTGTTAAATTGTAGGACTCATTTTTCTGACATATCACTAGTGTGCATATTTTATAATGGAACTGTATCTGTATTGGTCACAACACCTCTCAAAACTCCCACATGTACGACATCTCCTAAACAAGTCCATTGCTCAAATGGGAATTTTCTCAATTTCACATGCTGGAAATGCTTATATAATTCTATTAATTCCGCAAATCGACAGGCCTTAGGATGTTGAAAAGATAAGTAATTAATTATTTTTCCAAATCGTAGGCATTTCATAGTTGATTTTATTTCATTGTCCTGTATATACTAAAGAGCACCTTCAGTTGTGTGTGTTATTTTAACAATGATTCCTTCCTCACCTAACCTTTTATGGCTTTTTTCTGCATTCACTTACCAATATTTTCATTCAAGTAGATTATTATATAGTGATGAACAGTATTGGGTATATATATATATATATATATGCTTCATTTCTGCACATTGAATAAAGTTTTGTATTCCTATCTGACATTTTAATGATATTTTTTGGTGTGACAGATACAAACCCTCATAGCCTTGGCACAGAAATTAAACGATTGCCAGAGTCTCTTTCAGAATCTGTAGAAGCTCTTGACAAAGACGGTATCTTTAAAGATCTGATAGGTGAAAAGCTTTTGGTCGCTATAAGAGGAATTCGCAAGGTATGATCCAAATAGAATTTCTCAAACGTGTTCTTGAGGGATATTAGTAATGAATTCAAGCAAAGAAGGAAACGCCACAGTTTTTCTAAAACCTGCTTAAATGCCTTATTTTTATGGAAAATGATATGCTTACCAAAATTCATAAAAGGAATGATGTTGGTACATCATTCTCGAACAAGAAGGAATTCAGTTTTTAAAAAAGTTACCCTTCTAGAACTACCTGGAATGTGCAGTAAACTTTTTTTTACATAACTAACGATGATATGTAATGTTCTAATCATCAAACCCAAATCTGAACAGTTATCCAATTTAAAGTACATCAGAAGGCTTAAATTACATTACGAAGGGGCTACTCTGGAGTTTAATCTGAAAAAATTCCATTTTCTGTTCTAAAATTAAGCAAGCAAGGATGGTGACACAATGTTCTGTTTTGCAGGCGGAGATTGCATTCTACTCGGAAAACAAAGATGCATACAAGCAACTTATACATCGCTATTGAGAGTAAGAGACGTGATGATTCCTTTTTGTGTACTATTGCTTTTTGAAGATGTGATAATGGTTATAGCCACAAAGGGATTAGTTAAAGTAACGGAAATAATAACAGCAGGTACGCATGTCGCAACCTGTGGAGTATGTTGTTGTTGTTCTTATATTACTGGCTACTGTTTTTGATTTCTTTGGTCCTTTCTCTTTCAATAATGTCAGTCCGAGTGTTATATTTTGTACACTTCTTTTTCCAGCAGCAAAAATAATAAAGTTCATGGTGGCTATAAGCTTTTTTCATTCTTCTTATGGTATACATTTGTTCTCTCATTTGCAAGGCATTGCTAAATAATAGCTTCATTTGGCATAGCTTTTGAATTTAGTGTATTTGAAGCCTATTAGATTGCTCATACAATGACACATTATTTTATATGCTTCCTTCATTTTCCTAAAATATTTTTAGGGTAATTGCTCCAATTGAAGAGGAAAGTTTGTTCCCTTTTTTTATTTTTTATTTTTTTTATTTATATATTTTTTTCTAAAAAAATTGTAATACCATATATTTTGATTGGTGCTAAATTGTCTCTCAAGTTGAATCACTGAAATTTTTACTTTTATTTAGACAGAAAAAAAAGAAAAGAAAAGACAAGAAAAGTAATGATGATAATGACCGCATTAAGATGCAGTAATGGGACATAAAAATTGAGGTTAGTTACAAAGTTGATGAGATATATGATTGAAAGAACAAAAGTATTTTTACTAAAAATTTATATGAAGCCAAAAAAATGTTGTTTTACTTATTTGTTAGTAATTGACACAAAGGATATGTTTGGATGACGCTATTAATTTAGTAGTTAGGGCAGTTAGATTGTTATTAATGAGCGAGGTAAAAGTAGAGAAAGAGTGATTAAAAGTTATTGTGTGTAAAATATTTTCTCTAATAATAAAACTGCAATCTATTTTTCTTCTATAATGTTGAAAAATTAGTTGTTTCATTTTCAACCTCGAATTGTGTATTTGTGAAGATTATCATTTACTGCTGTGATTGGGTAATATCTTAGCTAATGTGTAGTAGAAAGTTTCTTAACAGAAAAAAAAGAAAAGAAAAGACAAGAAAAGTAATGATGATAATGACCGCATTAAGATGCAGTAATGGGACATAAAAATTGAGGTTAGTTACAAAGTTGATGAGATATATGATTGAAAGAACAAAAGTATTTTTACTAAAAATTTATATGAAGCCAAAAAAATGTTGTTTTACTTATTTGTTAGTAATTGACACAAAGGATATGTTTGGATGACGCTATTAATTTAGTAGTTAGGGCAGTTAGATTGTTATTAATGAGCGAGGTAAAAGTAGAGAAAGAGTGATTAAAAGTTATTGTGTGTAAAATATTTTCTCTAATAGTAAAACTGCAATCTATTTTTCTTCTATAATGTTGAAAAATTAGTTGTTTCATTTTCAATCTCGAATTGTGTATTTGTGAAGATTATCATTTACTGCTGTGATTGGGTAATATCTTAGCTAATGTGTAGTAGAAAGTTTGTTAGGATTATAATAGAGTTTGTTACATTGTGAAGCTTTTGAAAAGAAAATCAATAGAGAATAAATTCTCAATATTTTCATTGGCTTAGGTTGAGTACAAGAACTGAAACAGAGCTTTTTTTTGCTCTGTTTTTTTTTTTGCAAATCCAATTCATTCTTATTTTGTACTTGGGACTTGCAAAAGGGAAATCACTCAAATCAATTTCGTTTTAGGTTGAATACAAGAACTGAAACAGAGTTTTTGGTTCTGTTTTTGGCAAATCCAATTCTTTCTTATTTTGTTCTTTGGGCTTGCAAAAGGGAAATCAACTAAAATATCGAAAAATCAGTTTTAGAAGCATGTTGAATTTGATCCAACATACGTTCAAGGTGGAAATCAATAAAAAAATTAGAGTTTTTACAAGATGGGTTATTTTTTAAGAATAATCATAATAGCTGAAGTTACATAATACAATAATCATACAATCAAAAAAGAATGTATAATCATGATAGAAAATATGAATTTTTGGTAATGCCATTTGCATTTGCATTTGCATTTATGAGTAGATTAATTTAACAGTTAGGGCATTAGATGGTTGTTATTTTTTTATCGGCAAAAAAAAAAAACTTTATTGAATAAGAAAGGAAAATCTTTACATCTTATATCAATAAAGACAAAAACTTAGTAAAGTGTTACCTTTCCTCCCAACTAGGTTGGTACAAAAAACACCTCTTCTTATTTGCAGTACATACCACACCAAGGTTGAGCAGCACCTCCACCAAGGTTGAAGAGAGAACCAGAAACAAAAACAAGTAACAACTTATCCAGAAACAAAACATGTAACATCAGTTTACCCAAAGACTGACACAACCCTCACTACCTACCACACCAACCCTCACTACCTACCACACCAAGCAGCACCTCCACCAAGATTGAGGAGGGATACCAGAAACAAAACAAGTAACAACAACTGATCCCAGAAACAAAACAAGTGACATCAGTTTTTCCAAAGACTGACCCAACAGTTAAGAAATTGTCCTTCCTAACCTGAATTTTTGTGACACAAAATAGCAAATAAGAAAGATAAATGAATCAAAGAAATCAAACACACACAAAGAAACCTAAGGATTTATGTGGTTCACTCCATAATAGAGCTATGTCCACCGTTGCTGCAATTTTCACTATGATCAGAAAATAATAAAACCCTAAAAGAGGCGCTTTTCATGTATTTACAAATATAGAATTAGGGCCCAAACCCCCCATTGAACCCAGTGCACAGTGAATAGTATTCATTACGATCCACAGACTAAACCAGCACTAAACAGTTAATCCATAAGCCTATGTGTACTTTTATGAATTCACAGAAGCCTTGCCGGTTGACATTAGCCCCAGCAAACTTACATTCAGTTTCTAGCTTTCCATACATTTCACGCCCCAACAAATGGTATTGCCTCTCATATGCTCTTTTCCAGCTTTTTAAACTTGAAGGCTCCCCAACCCACCATTCCAGCAGATTACTGATAGTCTCTAGTACATTCCACACCACAGAAGATAGATTGTTGTTAATGAGAGGAATATGAGTAGAAGATAGTCATTTCTTTCCATGTTCTATTTTAGTCTTTTATAATTTGAAAAGCTACCGCTAGTTTATGTCATTCTTAACTGGTTAATGTATCCTATGGCTTTTAATTTCCTCCAATACACCAAAGAATATCTCATAAAAAAGCGAGAACTTGTTAAGAGAAAAATAAATAAATAAATTCAAGGTGTGAAGATTAAATAGTAAAAATAAAATAAAATGAAAGCATACCCTATGAAATTGATTTGATAGTTGTAGAAATATAGTTGGGGCTCACGATTCTATTTGAAAAGCATCCAGAGAATTTTGTTATGCCAGTTAAGTCATGCGAGATTGTATAAGGGCAAGTAATAATAAATGCATGAAAAAAGAGATGCATGCTAATTCTATTGTGAGTAAAAAAAATATTCAATAAATAAATAAATAAATTCATTTAAAAAGAGATGCATGCTTATTTTATTGTGAGTACAAAAAAAATATATATTCTAAAACTTTCGAAGAACACTTGCGATTTGAAAGCATTGGCGGAGGAGCTTAAAATGCATTTTGATCGAAACTTAAATTTGTTTGAAAATTTTAATTTAGTTTTTGATCAAGCTCTTGTTTATGACAATGCAACAATAATTTGATGCCCCGTTCTTTTATGCATCCCTTTAATTTATCAACCCTAATGATGTGACATTACGGTTAGACTCCACATAATGGAATATTTGACAAATCAAAATTTGACATTTGTCAGATACATCATTAAGAATAGTTTGTAATGGTGATAAATAAAGTATCTCAAGTATTTTTCTTCAAATAGAATGGTCAATCTTGCATTTTCTTTTGGTGAGACTATAAATTAAAGCATTGGCCTTTTATAAAAGAGTGAAATAACTCTTCTACTCTTGTTTTGCCAATATAGGACAAGAGGTTTTTAAAATCATAGTTCAGAATTATTTAAGCCATTTGTATATTGAGTAATATTTCAATAATTATTTAAAAGAAAAAAAGAAAAAAAACGTTGACCCTATTTAACCACCTGCGAGAGCCCACTCCAATGGCTTTCTTATGGTCCCTACTAATGGTTGGATCTCGAAATTTTTACATGGAAATATTGATCTTAGAACAACAATTATGTGTCTCATCACGGACCAATTTTAATTAAATACATAATATATGATTTGTTTGACATTTCCTATCATATTTTCTTATATTAAAAAATTTGTATAGTCGTATTTTATAATTGTGACATGAGAAAATAATATTTTGTGAAAATATTTCCGACATGGGATTTCCATTTTCTGAAAGCTTGCACATACATCATGTATTGTGATTCTCTCCAATTCATACATGAATTGAAGGTTTTCATTTCATTAATTCAATTGTAATGCATCATCAAAATTCAAAATCTCCTAATCATTTTTAAATTTTAAATAACAATTTATTAATAAGAACCATTGATTACGAAATGAAGATTTTCATTTCTTATTCTTATTTTATTATTATTTTTTGGGTAAATTACAAATATTTTGAAATTTGCTTAAAATACAGCTCCTTGGGGGTTATGGAAATTACAAATACTCTCTTATCAGAATTTTTATTTAACAAAATTAATAGAAAAAATGAAATTTCTAATTACTCCCTTATACAAGAATAAAATTACATGAATTGACAATTGAAATTAGAAACTTGAAGGGGCATGATGTAATTTTCAAAATTACAGGGGATAATCTATATTTTAAATAAATCTCAAGAGGTGTATTCGTAATTTACCCTTATTTAAAAAAAAATAGTTCATTTTTTTTTTTAAAAGATATGTTTAGAGTGAAGAACAAGTCCTAGTAACTGCCTAATTCTTTGTCAACCCTCCAAAATCTACTCAATCTTAACAACCAAAACAAACTAGTCCAAAATGTAATAGAGTATTGACCTATATTCTAGCCAAAAAAATCTTAATAAAAATAGATAAATTACCATGTTGATTCATTAATTCTCCAAATCCAACTAACCAACCAACCACTTCTATGCACAACTCAATGGTATGGCGTCTGCAAGCCCTATTGCAGTCATTCGTGTTGCTTCTTGTTCTTGTTCTTCCTCATGTCCATGCCAACAGCAACAATCACCCAGTTTGGAGTGCACACAAGTCTCTAGTATGGGTTCCCAAGCATCATAGACCTAGATTCAAGCCCGGTCCATGGAGGAATGCTCATGCTACCTTCTATGGAGCAGCTGATGGCTCCGGAACACTACGTGACTACTCCTCTCCTATCATTTTTTATTATTAAATCTCTTTATGAATCACATCGTAATATACATTGTGGAGAATATAAATAATAAAGTTGTCACTTTCTCTAATTGGATTAGTGAGAGCTTGAGGTATTTTTGACAACACAAGCATGATGCTAACAGTGTGAATTTAACCATCTTCATCTTCTTTATCATAAATAAATAAATAGATAAGATAAAATATAGTTAGTCTCACAATTTCAATATAATTATACTCACACTCAATGTATTAAAAAAAAAAGAAAAAAGATAAGATAAATTACAATTAGCCTTACAATTGTTATGTAATTACACTCATAAGAGTTTGTCCATTAACAATATTAACAAAAATGTTGAACTTACACAATTGTTATTAATCTTTATTGTCTATAACTAATTATTTTATAATAAAACTAAATTTATCAAATATTGGGTATGGTTGTTCAGATGTAGGCGATGGTTGAAAATAAGGATAATAAGTGTAAAATAGAAATTTTAGCATAAAATATTACATCATCATTTGACTATCGAATTTATATTTCAAATGAGTACAATGTGATCATGTTAAAATTGTGAAACTAGTTGTAATTTTTTCATTAGTCCAAAGAGATTAGTGTAATAAAACTGTCTGCAATTAGGTTTTTCCGAATATTTTTGTTAGTGAACATTGAGAAAAATATTGTGCAGAGGGAGCATGTGGTTATGAAAATGTAAGAGAACAAGGGTATGGTTTAAAGACAGCAGCATTGAGCCAAGCTCTATTCAACAATGGGGAAACGTGTGGAGCTTGTTATGAAATTATATGTGTGAATGATGCCCAATGGTGCAAGCCTGGCCAACCTACTCTCTTCATCACTGCCACCAACTATTGCCCTCCAAATTACAACAAAGCTAACGACAATGGCGGCTGGTGCAACCCTCCCCTCGAGCATTTTGATTTGGCACAGCCAGCATTTCTTGAAATTGCAGCCTACAAGGCTGGCATTGTTCCGGTCCAGTATCGAAGGTAATTGTTGGCCTTTCATTCCTCTTCTTTGTGTTCTCCAAATAGAAAATAGTTTTTTTTTACTTGCACATAATTCGGTTACATTACGCAAACATCTTATATGAATGGACTGTCTAAGGTGAGATTCACACGTTTGGTGAGCTCGATCCGGTATTAGAGAATTATGTCTGATTATATAATAAAATTATATGTACTTAAAAAAAAGTTTCAACTTGGTTATTACGAGTTGGACTGCAGTGCACACCCCCTAAATTGTGCGCATTATGCATGCCCCCTTCTTTTATGATTTTTTTTTTTGATCGGCAAAAAAGAAATATTATTAGAACCAGAAAAAAGAAGGAAAAACAAGAGAGGACTGAATAGCAGATGAAAAGACATATCCTTTTCAAACTGCCCAAACAGCCACAACAGTGTTGGCAAGGAACCAACACAACAAAAGCACAAGCAGAGCCGAAAATTACAAAAGCAAACACCCACTCAATACTTCAACTTCCTTAGATTGAGAACTCTGACATTTCCAATCCAAAATATAAAATCATTCACTATGAAGCAACCATCTTCAACCCGTCTTTTATGATGCAATATGGTATTTGTTACGGCAACAATTGCATCGAATTGTTACTCTGAAATGAATTATGACCCACCGTTGAGTCATTGGAGTTATGTGTTAAAGAGTATGTAAGAGGACACAAAAAACAGAAAAGAAAAGAATGAAAGCACAAAAAGGGTAATTCACACATAATTTATCCCAAAATTAAGGTTGCATCCACGTTGCTATGTTTTCACTACGATCATAATGTTACAGGATATACAAGAAAAACGCCTCCCACAATTACATATACATAGAAATTAGGAGGAAAAGTTACACCAAAAAAATAAAGTAAAAATTACTTTTACTTCGAGGTCAAGTGGCTATTATCCAATACATATCAAGATCTACTATCCTAACATTACGACACAATGTGATTGATTCGTAACTTTATAAGCGTCACATCTTAACTTAGAGCATATCACATCGTAAAGTCTGCACTACTTCTTTGGTTTAGTTATTGGGGTTGAAATGGTTAGTAGATCACATAAAATTAAGCCTTCCTATAATCTGTGCATCAATTAGAGGTCACAACCTAGAGCAATAGCAAGTGTTATCCGCTCCCACTTTATCACGGATTCAAGTCACGAAAATGAGTCTCTCCATAAAAAAAATATATTAAAAAAAGAAAAAAGAAAAAAGAAAATTGTCCATCTACTCTCTCGAACCCTACTATAAATAGCGAGTTTTGTGCACTAGATATGACGTTTTATAATCTTCACATCAATTATACATAAAACTGGTTTGAGTTGTACTATTATAGGGTTGCATGCAAGAAGAAAGGAGGGATTCGATTCACAATAACAGGGAATCCGTACTTCACGATGGTGTTGGTGTGGAACGTTGGAGGGGCTGGGGATGTCACTGGCTTGATGGTGAAGGGTGATGAGAAGGTGGTGAACTGGATACCGATGCAACGCAATTGGGGCCAGAATTGGCAGACCACTGTCATGTTAGTCGGCGAGTCATTGCGCTTTCGAGTCCGTGCTAGTGATCGTAGATCCTCTGCTTGTTGGTATATCACTCCCAAAAACTGGCAGTTCGGTCAGACCTTCGAAGGCAAGAATTTCAAGTAGGAAATTAATCAACAATGCTACGCAGTCCAAAAAGCTATTTGAAAAATGATCCGAACACTTTATTTTCTAGTCGCTTTCTAATTATTTCTAGTCGCTTTCTAATTAATTTTTTGGACTTTGTAGCTAAGTAATTCTTGTTTTTTTGTTTGTTTGTTTTGCTAGCTATATGCATGGTGTGGTTACTATTTGCTACACACCATGCTTTTTTTTTCCTTTTTCTTTTTTTTTTTTGGCCTTAAATTGTACAGTTACTTTCTTTGGTTCACTGCTGTATATATATGTCTTTATTGTTGGTTGCGAAGATGTGTGTGGCAAACCAGAAATTAGACAATTGTCCTGGTTGCATGGTAGAATGTCTATTCTTTAATTCATTCTGTATGTTAGTATATTATTATACTTTGTATATAATTGTTATAGCATCAGCTCCTGGTTGCATTGTAGAATGTCTATTCTTTAATTCATTCTGTAATTTAATTATATTCAGTTAAATCTTCTTAAAATTAGAACCATTGCTAGTCTTATCAAATAAAAATTAAAATAGTGTTTTGGGTTGTAGCATGGAAAATGAGATTTATGTAAACACTATGATACGTACACATAACATTTATGTGGATCCATTCATAATATCCACATGCGTGTTAAGTTTTATAGGCACATGTTTTTAAAATATATGTTTTATTTTTAATTAATTTATTTTTTTGCTATAAATTAATGATTGAAAGATGTTCTTTATGCGTTTAACAAATCTAATTAAGTGGACCCTTCTACATATGCATTATGATTTGACACCTGGCATTGCAAATCTTATTTTGCTCGTAAATTGATGATATATGGGACTTTTAAGAACAATTCTTCGTCTCTTTTGTCTTATATATTCTAGCCAATGAGCTTTTAACATGCTCTTTTGCCAGAATTTTCTCCTCAAAGGAACTTCTCGGATGTTGAAATTTGACGGTTCGACTGTTGCTTCTAAGCATGATTATTAAATCATGTTAAGATATGCCTAGCCTCCCGATGAAGGGAATTGGCTCATCTTGAGTTAAGATAGTAGTAAAATGAAAATTCTCAAAATATAAACAATTTTTAAAATATATGACATTTTTTTTTAATAACCAATCATCTCGACTTGTTTGCGTGTATCTCATCTAATCCTAATGAGCGGACAAATTTTCAGTGGTCCATTGGAGTAAGACCAACTTGAAAGTCTGAATTTTATCGTTGAATTTTTACCGCTCAGCCAAATCTTTAGAGTTTTTGTAAAAATATATGATAGGAGGTTAAACAAACCAAATCTCAACTGTAAATGAAATAGTAGAAGCCAGTTTGATGGTTTGACAAGTTATATACTATTAATAATTCTTAAAATCTAGAAATTATATGCAATTGGGAATTGTTGAACCCTAAAACATGTATGATGTATTGGGAATAATTAGTTTTCGAAACTTGTGGAATTGGAACTGAATATAAAAATTGTGGGACTGACGTAAGTCGAAATCTGTTTATTTCATACTCCACATCTTATTAAAACTAAAATTTAATACACAAGATGTCATTGAAACCTTGTTAATTGATGACTGTATGGGAAAGAGAATGAAATCCTTGTTAGTTAATGACGGTATGGGAAAGAGAATGAAATCAGGCCTGGTTGAATGGCTTGGTTAATCGTAAGAATGTGCCCTCAAGAAAGGAGAGATTGGCTTGGAGCAACAAAACTAGAGTATAGAGTATAATGGTTTCCGTAATTTAAATTTAGGAAGTTGGTAAAAAATTAATTTTTTGACTTTTTTAACTTATTTTGTCTTTTTGTAGGTAAATTATGTGAGAGGTGATGTGATCCAAAATGGGTAAAAAGTTGGAAGCTCGCTTTTTACCGGCTTCCCAAAAGACTCCATAATAACTCAATACGTAAATTTTGTGGGCATCAATTTAGAGCAATTTGAGAAGTTGATAAAAAGTTAGTTTTTTGGCTTTTTACCAAACAAGCCACCAAAAAAATCAAAAAGTCAAGAAGTCAATTTTTTACCAACTTCCCAAAACACTCCTTTATATTCGATCAACTTGTCTAGTTTTTTTTTTTTTTATCGGCAATAATAATTATTAAACAAATAAATATTTAATTAAATAAAAAAATAAAAAATAAAAAAAATAAGAGATAAAAATATAATAGAAAACCTCAACCAAGAGATCAATCTCGATCTCGATTATTGGGATGTTCAATAGGTAGAGAGGGTGAGGTGGGGTCCAGGCCCAGTTTTGAGATTTTCAGACTCAAAATCGATAATCAACTAATAAATATCACTAGATCATTTGGGGCTTTTTATATATTTTTTTTTATTCAATGAAATTTTTTTTTTAAGGTAAAGGACAAAGATTTGTATCAAAATTACAAAAAATACTTAGCATTACATTATAACAACTAATAAGTATCACTTGATCCTCACTTTTCTTGCATTTTTAGAAGCAAATAAATAAATCATACTTGCATAATCTTTTTTTTTTTTTTTTGTAAAATTATTTTCAATGGATAACAATGCTAATCCATTCAATCTTTCTTGCGACATGGTTGATCGAAGGTAATTTTTTATCATTATTTAGCAAATTTTCATCCAACAAATTTTAATTCTCATTATTCACCAAAGTTTCAAATTCTGCATTATTCAAGTCTTCAACTGATTCTTCTCCTTGTTTATCACTCGTAAAGAACTTATCAATAACTCCTCTTTGACACTCGATTAATTTTTTGACTCTTTACTTCTTTTTTCTTTTTGCAAATTTAGACAAATAATTTCTTTTAAGAATCATGACAAGCTGGGATCAAAATAATTTTTTAGATCAAAACAGTACAAGAGCACCACCACCACTTAACAAAACACAAAACTTTTAAATAGTATAAGAGCACCGCCACCACTTAACAAAACAAAAAACTTCTAAATTATATGATGTGAACTATTAAACTTCTAATGTTATAATAGCACATGTAGCAAAAGATTAATTCTTCTTAATGATACAGATTTGCATAAATACCAATATTATAATAGCAATTGAGCAAATGATAAGATAAATATTTAATTAATCGAATAGAAAAAAACTGCTACTCTGAATTCTTGAGAAATTCGTTAGTACTCTGCTATGTCGCTTCTCTCAAATTTTTTGAAAAATTAAATTAAGAGTTAGGATTAGGAATTAGATATGAATAGAGAATGAGCCCTTTTAATTTTGAATGAATTTTTAATTTTTTAATGGGTCAATTTATTTTAAGTTAGTTTGGGTCTTCTTTAATTTTTTTTGGACTTAAAACATAAATATTATATTACACTAAATTATAATAAGAGGGGTCTTTTTTTGGATTTATTTTGAGAGGTCCTAAGCCATGACCTTATGGCCTATGCCTAGGGCCAGCCCTAGTGGTGTCTTTGGTAGTGGCCCAGAAAACTTGCAAAAATTGTAGAATTTTCAATGATTTGTCCCCTTAAGAATCACAAAATGAACCAAGACAAAGAAGAGCAAAAAGGTAGAAGAATCTCTGAATCTCCAAGATCTTTAAAGTTTCACAGATAAAAAGATAGACCAGGGAGAAGGGAAAAATATTATAACTTGGCAAAGGAAACCAACAAAGTTGAACAAAGTTGACACTCAGGATAATGGTATTGAGTTGGGTAACAAGAGATGTGACCGTCAATTAGACAAAATCGTGGTTAAGGGTATAAAATTAATTGGAAATATTCAATTGAGACAAAATGCTAAAGACGAAGCTGTGGTCCACCACATATTATTTTCGTCATAAATGATAATAGTCCGTCAAATTCCGTCTCCACATCTGACAAGATATTTATTGGAGTTGGCGATGGTAACAATCAAATACCATCCCTAAAAGGCAAGAAGCCAAACTAAACCTGAATAAATGACTAAAGAGAATTGACAAATACAGCCATAAACAAAAGCAAGACACTGAGCATGGGAAAAAATGGAGAGAATTATAAGGTTGAAATCAGTGCGAGAAGTTTTAGTTTCCTCCAATATTCTAAATTGAAGAATACTTGCCATAAAAAGAATGTCGAATATATGAATTGAAAGCATTGGCCAAATATGAATTGCAAGCATTAGAGATCAAATGGTTTAATACGAAATCCAGCAACGTTTTTGTTGGGTTTAGTCACACAAGAAATGCCCATTTGATCGAGTAATAAATGAATGACAAATGTGTGAAAAATTATCATTAAATTTTCATGTATTATAGAAAAAAGTTTAAAACAAGGGCATTGGTGTAATAGATTGCATTAGACCCTAAGACTATTTGGTTCATGAATTTGGAAAGGAATTTAAGAAGGAAAAGAAAAAATGTGTGTGAAATTAGATCCATGAACCAAACACAACCTAAGGTTATATTTGGATTAAGAATTTGAGAACGGGTAATTTATGAAGGAAATGGGAAAAAAAATAAAAAATAAAGGGGGATATCAAAAAAGTAAAAAGTAAAAAAATAATTTGAAATTTATAAAAGTACATGTGATTTATGCACTGGATTTGTGTAAATAAATGTTATACTTTCATGAGCTTGTAATTATTTTTTATACTTCGCACTTTTTTGAAATTTCCTCTAAAATAAAAAGTAAATATTTTTCTTTCTTTATTTTTTTCCCCCACAAATCTGTCCTTAAATTATTGATCCAAACATAATCTAAAGGGCGACCAAGCTCAGTTCTCAAGTTCGAGCTCCATATCCCCTTCCACCATTCCTCCCTACTCAAAAAGGGGGGAGGGGGGGGGGAATTCTGTCTTTCTTTTTTCTGTTTTTGTTTGTGCGTGTTCATTGGTCATTGGGTCGAGACTTGGTGTCTTCTCAATTGTAGCCCTAAAAGTTTGTACCATCCACATAAAGCTGGGAAGGGGTGGTTACGAATTTCTTTAATTTCAAGACAACAAAAATTAGAGCACTAGTACTAATTGCACAAAATCAAATTATAGAATAGAGACAAGGGGATGGGTTTCATTTAGGAGACTCACATATAGGCCTCATCTATTGTCTCGATTTCTTGATTCATGATTTAATTATGTTCAACGAAATTTTCTTAAAATTAGAACCGTTACTAGTCTTGTTCACATAAAAAAATGAAGGAGTGTTTCTGGTTGTAGCATGTAAAATGATATATATATCACTAAAAAATTATATAATCCACTATTATTTTTTAATATAGTGGATCTTACAAGTACACATTAGGTTCGTTGTAATGATCCACGTATCAAATG